CGTATTATTTAGATAAGAATTTGAAATAAGACTATATATAATACAATGTATTTTTTGCAACTAAATAAGTTGGATTAGATAGTCTTAATTTATTATGACTATGCGACAAAACGACCCCTTAATTGCTAACCAATTATGATAATACTCACTAAATTGGGGTTATCAGATAGTCTCATATTTAAAAATTCTCAAACTCTTTCTTCTCTATCGAAAATCATCGAAATAAGTAAGAATACTCCTTTTTTTGTGCAAAATACTATTTATGGGTATTTCAATTGAAAATTATAAAAATGAATTAGTTCATTTGAGCAATTTCATTTGTTGATTAGATTTTTTAGAGATATTGATGGGTTTAGTAGTGGGTGAATCAACTATCAAAGTGGAGCAATTGTCCAAAAATTACAATTACCAAATGAGAATCAAGACCCTTTATACTAGTTTATTATTTAATTGTTTCGTTCCACCCACGAAAAGAAAGGCGAGGCACATGTGTCATGGTTGATATACGTACGTTTCAGTATCTATATTATAAAAATGATAAAATTCCTTGTTTAAAAATCTTTTTTTAATAAGTAATTTCAACAATTCTTTAAAAATCTTACTGAGTACAAATAAGAATGATAAAAATAATTATTAAAATTCATATTATATTATTTCTGAAGATGGGCTTCTTCACAACTCCCGAAAAAGGCATCTGAATTTTATTTTTTTTTGGTGCTATAATTATTATATATATATATATATATTTAAATTAACATATCTTTTCCTTTGAGTTGGGAAAGCACATGAATTTGTTGAAGTTTATGTGGTGAGAATAAAAGGAGAGTTGTTGCAACTTTGCAAGGGGGTTCGATTGATGAAAAAGGTTGATAAGATATAAAATAATATATATCTTATCAACCTTTAAGTAGAAACAATTTTTTTATTGGATTTTAAATATAAAATAATCTAGATATTTAAATTAAAAAATAATAATCATATAAATGTATGAGAAATAAGAGGTAGAAGGTGTAGTTTGTCGGCAGGGGTACGAGGTTTTAATGCCTTTGGTTAGGAAGCGACGTGGTCGCTTCTCTTCCTTTCGTACCAAAACTCTTATTCTCATTTTCCCAGTTTAGGTCAGATATTTTACCTAATACCCCAAAATACCCTTCATCTTTTTTTTTTTTTTTTGGGTTTTGATAAATAAATTTGCAAAAGGGGCAATGTAATTGTTTGTAATCTTGTGAGTTTGATGTTTTTTTATTCAAAATAAAATCGTCTTTCCACTTCGACCTCAAATCTAACACTTCGAACTCTCACTTTATCGTATACGAATCTTTCTCCTATGGAAGAATAGAAAAATAACGACCTCTACAACTGAAAAACACTTGTATCGCATAAAACACAAAATTAAAAGTCAAAAAAAATAAGCAACATGCGATTTCATATAATTTTGTATAGGGAAATCATAATTGAGAAATATATAGTGTATTTGTAGGGGTAATAATTTTTAATTCCACACGAAAATACGACTCAAAATCGACATGAAATTAGCGGAGTAGAGTTGATTATTTCTTGACACGAACCAATAAATAACACAACCCGTTAACATGAGTAATAAATGGGTTGAGTTAGTGTCAAACATAAATAATATGAATTTGACATTAGTAACACGTTTAAATACTATTATAAGAATAAAATATTAATTTTTTATTATATTTTATCAAGTAGTAATCTAATTCTTGTACAAAGAAAATATATTTATTTTTATTTTTATTATTATATTTATTAAATTAATTTTTAATTTATAGAAAAAGTATGAGCATAACTTTGATTATCTGATAATGAAATTTTAGACAAAAATTTGAGTTTTGATTCATGGGTTATATGATTCAACACGAACACGATACGAAAATAAATAGGTCTAAATAACACGATTAGTTAAACGAACTGAATTAGGATTGACTAATACTTGACACAAACTTAAAATGACACGACACTAACATAACAATATTAGTTAAACGAGATTAAGTTAAGGTTGATTAATGTTTAACATTTAACCGAAATGACACGAACGAACGTGACACAATTGTCACCCTCGAGTATTTGGCCACAAATGTATTAACTTTTTAGGAACTGAAGTTAATAATTTCTTAAAATTTTCATGAAAAATAAGAGTGGAAAAGAGTAGTTTTAATAAATGGCATACAATAATGATTCTCAAAATATGTGTTCTTTCTCACTTTAATTCCCCCTTTTTTTTTTAAATTGCCTTCTTTTACCTAATGTTTGTGGTTTGAATATGTAAAATTTAATCAAACATATAAGTTTATAATTATTTACAAAAGTGGTTAGGCGGAGATCATATGCATGGACACGTGATCATTTATGTTGTCGATTTTAAATTCTTGTTTATGATTGAACTATATATAAGTAAGTTAGGAAATTTAAGAGACCAAAGTAAAATAATTGAATGAATAACCATTAAAATGTGACAAAACACATATTTATTGGACTAGAATTGTATTTTATCTTTTTAAAAACTCATGGAGAATCATAAATAATCCTAAGTCTTGGGATGGCTTAAGCAAGCTGGCTTATTGCTCTTTTTCTTTTTTTTGTGAAATATACAAATATCTTTTGTTACTTCAATTCTATCGAAAATGGTGGTTTAAACTAACTACCGAAAGTGCTCACATGTAAATTATTTGATCATATTTTTGGGGGCTTTTTTTTTGAAAGTTTGAGGTACTAAAGTTATAACATAAAATAAAGTGACACAAATTAAAAATTTACCGAAGTTACACAACAAGTGTGGTCACGGACCCATATTGTTACTTACTTCTCTAACTCAAAATTGGATCGAAATGATACAATTTGAATGTTTGAGAGACAATGTAATTCAAGTGGCAATAGAAACGAGCAAGGGTGGAGCCAGAAAATCGTGTTAGGTCGGGTATGAATATTTCAACAAACTAAATTTTTTTCTTACAACAGATAGAAATAGAATAATAATTTATATTTAATTACATCTTATTTAATACTTAAAAAATCATTAAATCTAACATACCAAAATTTGGTAAGTCTACTATATACAAACAACAATAATTTTTTTTACAAAATATAAGCTAATTAAAATTATTTAGAATTAACTTCAGTGAATTATTGTATTTTAATCTCATTTGATCGATTATGCAAATCAATGTGCACACCATAATTAGCAAAATAAATGTTAAAATCATAAGTAAACTAGTGAATATGTATATTATATCTTTTTTGGTCTTATAAAGTATAAAATAATTCTAATATATTCAAAATTTATCTAGATGAGTACATAGCATATTCAAAATGTGTCAAACAAATTCATATTCATTTAATATAAGTATACACTAATTAGTATGCCAAAAAAATAAGGTGGGCATAATTAAAAATATTTAAAAAATACTCAAAATACATATAGGTAATATTAAGAAAAAAAATTTGAGAGTGGACATGTGCCTCTTGGGCATATGCTAGCTCTACCTACGAAGACGAGCTATAAACTAAGATGTCTTGAATTTTAATCTTGATAACCTTTAAAGTCAAGTCGTGAGAGATTTATCTCTAATGAATACTCCAATCTCGGTGTAGATAGTCTGCTTTTGATCAAACCGAAGAGAAAATTAATTGAAGTATACGTAAGATAATTCAGACACCTCTAACCATCAGATTAAAAAAAATGTTTGAGAGACTAGAGGGATGAAATTAGAAGAATGAATAGGAAAGTGATATATTACTCAGAATTATTTTTGAAGGTAAAATAGGTAGTGTTGGCCCATGCTTCTTAGCTGTAAAAATGGGTAATCTCTTCCCACACCCACAGGCATATTCAGTGTGTCTATCATTACGCATTGGAGAACCAAATTCCCTACTCAATTATTTTTCTTTTCCCCTTTTCGTACTTTTTCTTTGGCAAAGAAAAATTTTCCCCTGATTGAGTGGTCAATTCATCCAACCAGGTGTAGCACTTTAATTTTTTTTTTTTTTCTTTTGGTTGTGTAGGGTTTGATTAGACGAATTGGATCTTAGAGTCGTTGATGGATTAACTGACTTTATAAATCTTTTAAGAAAATTTTGTGGCCTATGGTCTGTTATTGGACCAATTCTATAGGTCTAAACTAAGTTAGATTCGGTTTATTTTTTAATTTGTTATTTACATTAAATACTTACATTTACAAAGTTTCAAAATCATAAATGGGCACTAAATTGAAATTGATATAAAACATTGCTCATATCAATTAAAATAAGATCAATGCCGACTCAATTCACTATAATATTTAAATTGGTTATAAATTTGATCAAACATTAAAACTTGATTACTGATCTAATTAGCTATGACATTGGATTGATTGTAAACCTTATTAAACATTAAAACTTAGTATTACGCTAATGATTCTAATGAAACCATATTATTAGATCAACAAATTATGTTAAATTTTTAAGTCTAAATAACATTACTCTTGAAATAAAAGTTCAAAATTTTGATAGTGCTTTGGTGAAAAGATATCAAATATTCAGGATCCTTCTAAAATGTATTTTTGTAAATAACCCAAAGATTCAAATCAAAAAGAAAATTCATTTATTTTAATTCTTGGGGAACGTGGGCTGGTTCAACCCATCAGGAAGCCGATCATAGTCCGTCCATGGGCCCGTTGGGCTTCCAGGTTTCTGGACCAAACCAATTGGCATCTAGGTATTACAATGCTCTACTAACCTCACTCACTTTTTCTCCTTTTCCTCTGCATCAAGTATTTGTTTCAACTAAAAATTCCAAAGGGAGAAACAGTATAATCTTACTAATAATGAAGAGTATCATTGTATTTTCACATTAAATCATTTAACCCTGTTAGATGTTGCAGTTTGGTTATAAACTTCGGCGGAAGGGTGAATTGTAGGGTTCAAAAGTATGAGCAAAGTAAATTATCACAGGCATAAACATAATGGGAATAAGACTAATTCACTCCCAAAAAAAAAAAAAATGAAATACAAACAAAGAGGAATGACAAACTGGCTGTCTTCCAAACATAGATAATAAGGTTAGATACTATCTATAATTCCAAACAAAACAGTTTCAAACAACCACAATTAGACACTCTGTATTCTTCTGTTTTTTTTCTTTCCCAACGGTAAGACCAGGGAAACTAATACTAAATATTCTTTCCTATATCGATAAATTTACATAGGTAAATTGACTCACCAAGCTGAAGGCCCGGTTAGTAGCATCTAGCCAAAAGCACAACCGTATGCGCATCCAAAAATCACCACCAAAGCTCAATATATCAACAGGTCTACATCTCTTTTTCCAAGGGCACGTCTCTATTGCAACATCTGGAACTTGGACTTCAACCATTGTCGATATAGAGGAAACAGATACGGAGTTCGTCCAAGTGCAGTAAAGCATGAGCTTTTCACTGGGGCAGAATATCTCACAAAATTGCAATTGAATTTCTAATAATAAGCATCATTTCAGAAAATGAAGTACTGATTTGATGCGTGAGGAATATCAGGGTGCTGATGTTCTTCATAACTTGTGCTTCACTGTAAAATACTCACTTCCTTCTGGTGTAGTGGAGCCCACCTCCTGAGTGATGATGCCGGTGACGTGATCCAACAGCCCTTCCTCCATGTCCTTCCCATGTGTGGGCCCGGTTGGAAACTCTGCCACCCCCAGTTTGGGTCCAGCCAAATGGCTGGTTCCCCAACCCATTAAGCTCTTCCTCTTCTCTGTCGTTGTACTCCAAGACCAGCCTCTTGATATCTTGTTTCTCTTCAAGTTCAGCTGCTTCCTTCTGTTTTGTGCTCTGGACAAGTGAAGAATCCCGAGGAATGTACATCTGCCTTGTTTGTTGCTTGTTTCCACGCTTCACAAGAACCATCACTCGAACATCTTTGCTTCCTCCAGCCTCCTCATCTAATGTCTCATCACCACTTTCCCCGTCAACCACCCTTCCATGATGATCCTTGGTGGGCCCTTCAAACAAATTCATTGGTATCATCATGTTCAATGTTGGACGGGATCGCAATTCCAGCTTTCGTGAATCCAGACTCTCCTGCATCCATTCAACAATGGGTATTACTTCGTTCGTAACTAAACATCATAAGCCAAAAAGTAATACGAGATCAATTGCAGTCCGCAAACAGCTTAATGAACTGGTTATATTGTGGCGAGAAACTTGACCTAGAACATTAAAAAGTTTAGGAAATTGAAGAAAATAAGGATAGAAGAACAGTTCAAATTTACTATTACTGCAAGAATACAATATTATGTTCCAATCAAATTTTAAAATGTAACCGGAGACAATTTAAGTTACGCTAAATATATATAATCCTTTTTGGGTCATGACAGCTAGATATATTTCAACCATCATTTTTGCTTGGCTTGCAGAAATATGTAAGTTTGTTGAGGCATCTCCCACACATGATAAAATTAAATCTTGTGCGTGCCCTGTAATTCTGCAGCATAATTAACAGGTCCTTAGATCTTGCCTGCATTAGAGCCCTGAGTTCTCGGTCAAATTCAGCCTCCTCTTGAGGATCTACAAGTGTCACCTTCTGCCTTACGTGGACTTCATCATCCTCATCCGAGGCAGGACCCGATCCATCATCATAACCATCCTCGCTGTCACATCCATCATCATGATTCTCTTCATCCGATTCTTCATCATCGTCATGTCCATCTGGGTCAATGGTGTCACTCCCTGAATCACTTTCAGTGTCCCCTATCACATCTTCATGCACTTCACCATTTTCCTCAATACCATTTGTGAAGCTTTGTCCATTCACTGGGATTCTGCCAGAAGTAGTACTGCTTAGATGTTTTTCCATGTCCGATTGCTTCTCACTATTGGCCTTATCACTAGAAAATGAACGCTCATGGTCTTCAAGTTCAAATAGAGCTGAATTAACTTCCTCAATAGATGAATATCGGATCATTTTGGGGCGTAAATCTGCAAATAGATCCTGCAAATGCATGCAGCAGTTTATAAGCTCACCCTAGTATTCAGATATATGACTTGACATTCTTTTACCCACACTAACAATCCCCAACCCCAGCACAAACAAAACAAAAAAGGGAACAAAACCTTAAGGAAAACATAGAAATCTAGAAAACTCATAAACAACCACTATCTATTTTGGGGGAAATACAGAAAATTTCCAAAATTCAAAAGAAAATAGCCAGTAATCTCTCTACATCTGGAGCTGAAATTTGAGAACTTCTAAGGTAAAATACAGCATGAACTTTTAAGCTAGTTGCCAAATCATGTCTGTCAGATCTAATATCCTAGTTCATTTTGATTATTCAATTTTTTTAGTCCCATCTTTCTTCCAGTATATGCAAAAGTTACTCAGCACGTCCATTCAGACATTTATATCTTTTTTTAGTCATTGTGAGGTATGCCCCAATTGATAACAGACAGGGGTCCAGCTATGAACACATGAACTACACTTTGTGAAGTGGCCTAACTTCTAGAGGGTTCTCAGTTCCTTGGTCCACAGATTTAAGTTCAAGAGGGCTGTCCTAACTTGGCCAACCAAATCTAGAGCAAATTTTTAAAGTACATATATCAATTCTAAAAAATATCTTAAGCCCTGAAAATTCCGTGAAACAAGTCCAATGGCTACATTATCATACACTTTCTTATATATGTGAAATTTTGTTCAATACTAACACAAGTCGAACCCTATTGGCAACCTGAATTGATAGGGTTAATGCTTAAATAGTGGATTTTTTTTCACATTTTCAACATACCCAGCTTTGTGGATTACAAAAAAAACCACACATTTGAGGGAGGCAGACAATGGCATGCACAATGTCCACACTTGATAAAGGTTCATTGAAGGTTTCATTGAAGCTGCCAAATCTAAGCAGACGCCCTCAGTGTGAAATTCTCTAAGGATATACCTCTTGAGGTAAAAGTCAACCGAGTGAAGAGGGCACATCATGATAGAGAGGAGAAATATCCTCATGAGAACTTTTAGCAACAATTTAAGCTCAACAATTATAACTAGCACATAATTTTTCACACGCTTTTTGCTCTTCGTTTTACTAGCGTTTCATCAGTTGCATTCTTTGAACAACTATTCTGAAAAACTTCCAATCGTATAAAAACATAGTTGTATGAAGCAAGTATACTTCATTCAGGTTGAAGTATCTAGATGACTATATCTGATATCAGTATATGACGTCGGATACAAATACTTACCAAATACCCAAATATACATATCGAATATGCACCATATTTATCCAATAATGAACCAAATATTTCTCTACTTTTGGATATGTCTCGAATTAAGTATCCAAGACAAATATGTTCCGAATAGAAGTGAATGCACGGAACTATGTATAATTTTAATTTTAACTCTTTCCTCTTGAATTCACATACAATTGCACTCCATAGAAAAAAATTCATATGCCTTTGAAGACATGTATGCATTTCTTAAGTATTACATAGACATTATGCCCTATTTCTAGGCAACAGCTACTCCAAAAAAACCGGCTAATTAAATGTTGGTTTTGGTTCTTTTAATTAGCCATGCTCACTTTGAATGTATAAAATTATGAAACGATTTATTCTTTGAAAGTAAAAGTTGCTTATTTTTTGAATGGTTATTTAAGAATACATTAAAAAATATAACCATCAAATCGTCCAAAAATAGTAAAACATAAAATGTATGTTATTGCCGAATGTATCATTCATGCATATCCATATTCTATTGTTTTAGATGTTGACATATTGTATCCGTATCCTGTATCTGTGCTTCCTATGTACTTACGGCCTACGAAGATTCTCAAAGCTCATACAGTAAGCGGGTCATTAGTGGTGAACCCAACGATAGGACTACTTCGTGGCATCTAGTAAAAGTTACAGCTTGTAGATTGCGACTTGGAAGAATGTCTCCATATTGAAGCAGGTTGGTTTGTGAATTGGATGGCATCAAAGTAAGCTATCGGTGTACACTTAGGATAGACGTGTCTATATCCAGCACAAATCCTCATAAATGTGAAGATTGTCAATTGACTAAATTAATTGCTGCTTCAACTTAGACCATACATATTGGGTTCTGTTACTTTCAGTTAACCATTTTAGTCCAGGGATGCACACAATTCTTGATAGATTTCCAATAATTTGGAACATATCCAAGAAGAAAACAACCGGAGGATCTGACTGAACCCAAACTTACTTCTTGGTGGTTTTATCTCTCCATTTTCGTGTTGTGCTTAATCATTCATAATTTCATGCTTGTATCTTTGTTAGTTTATACAATTCAATCCAAGTTCCAAAGTATGACTAACAACTGTTCTCAATTACGACATCCAAATTAAATATAAAAGGAGAGAGAAAGATTTCAGAGCCTAACCTGCAAGTCAAACTCAATATCCAGTGGCAGTGCATCTTTGCTCAATATGTACCTCTGAAAATGAATTAAAAATCGATCTAGTTTCCTCTTTGATGAACCTCGATCAAAATAGTGCCCGCAGGTTTCAAGAAGCGTAATAACCATCCTGATGCGAAAACAATCTTGTGGTGGATCCAACACATCTTGCTAATAATCATTTATGCCAAAAATGCATATCAGCAATTGACAAAAATACGAATGAAGACTTGAAATACATGAAGTGCCTCAAAATAAAATTTAAAAAAAAAAAAAACAAGTTAAGACTTTGCGTAATACAGAATCTATGAAGCACAGACACTCACACGTACCCGTATCGGATACTAACACTCCTCGGACATGAGTATGTTACTCTTTTATTCGTATCCATTATTAAATAAATAAATTTTAATTTCAGACATGTGCCCAACATTTCTTTAGACCATATCTCATACTAAACAATAAACATGTGTTGACATGTGATTAACGGGGCTTAAAATCTGACTAATAAATATCCTATATTATGAGACAACATATAATTATCAAAACTAAGCATGTTAAAATTGCACTCAAAATATAATAACAAAAGCCAAAGATACATAAAAAATTTAGAAAAAAACAATTGAAAAATGAGAACAATCATTTAAATTATATATGTTTGGTACACGTCCACGAAAAAATTGATGATTTTTGACTCTTACGATGTTAGTATAAAAATTCACACTAGATGACTAGACACAACATTCACTTACCATAATGAACTGATTTTTTGTGTGAATAATATGTCATTATCACTATAGTTGTGATAAATTATATAATTTTATATATAAAACACAATTATGTGTAGCATGTCCCCAATATATCCGTGTCCTACTTTTTTTTTGTAAATGTCGTGTTTGCATATTCGTATCCGTGCCTGTACTTCTTAGTAAAGAATTATTGGCCTTCACAAAATTTTTTCAATCACTCACTAAGAAAATCAGACACGTAACACGAGTGCTAATATTGGGCAGAATTATCTGATCAAAAACAACACTGGAATAGGATATGAATAACTTGGTCCCCAAGAAGATACATATCAATACCTCTGCGGTTCCATGTCCAAAAACTATGATCAGATGGAGTGTATCAAAAATAACTGATGAATCTATATGTTCATAATTGTACAGCTCCCCTAAGAACCGCATGTGAGCAATGCGTTGTTGCTGCATCCCATAGTCATTCAACTCTAGTCCCACCCTGATTTCCTCCAAAACCTGAGTGTAAACCAAAAATTTCTTAGTGTATTCTTGACACAAATTCAACAAACATAAAAGTGTGCACTTGCATGTACATGCAGTTTCCCAAACCTGAACTTGTTAGTAAACCAAAATTTCTTAGTGTATTCTTGACACAAATTCAACAAAAAACCACAAAGAAACAAACATAAAAGTGTGCACTCGCATGTACTTGCAGTTTCCCAAATCTAAACTTGTTCCAATGAGATGAAGGATTCAAGGTCGAGGGATGAAATTCATGCCATTTCATACTGATTTTGCAATAAAAATCACAAAGTTAGAATACAACCACCAAAAAAGACACACAGAAGAAGGGACAAATCCTAAATTGGAATCAATCGCGGAACTTGCCTTATCCAACTCATAAAGCAAATACTTCTGCCCCATGACTTCCCAAGAATATCAACAATATGATGTGCCCAAAGAACTAAATACTGTCATCCAACGACAACACATATTTAGGAATAACTAAGTGAGTGGACGAATAGTAAAACCCTTCAAAGATCCATTGAGGTAAAATTAAAATTTTGTTAAGGTATTTCTGTAAAAATGCAGGCAGCATAAACAAACCAATATTTATCATACAATTGATCTGATACAAGTCTATCGTACATGCAAGCACGATAAAATCATAACTCAACCTCCACATGATCAAAGAAGGCCATCATTGTTATGCTGTGAGTCAATAAGATGGTATAATGGATATAACGTTTTAGAAACCTTTTAAGGCATATGCCGCCATTTAGGACACTGTCTTTTGCCGTAAGCTTGCCAGAACAATTGAGTAAGAGGGCAGAGCTCTTAAGCATATCCATTGACCCCTTGCTGGAAGTTTCCCAACTGGGACAATTAATTACCCAGACACTTTCAGCTACCTCTACAACACAATAGAAATGCAGAAAATTTTTTGTGTGAAATTGACTCGACTAATATCTCCCATAATTGGAAAAAAGAATTGTAAGTTGCAACTTGCAGAGAATGCCCTGACGATGGTACACTGAACAAGAGAGATTGGGCACAAGCAGCAGGAAAAACATTACTGTTTTTTTAATCCTAAATTTAAAGTCATGTCTATCTTGAAAAAGTAAAATACTAAACCAATTCGTTCCACCCAATGAAGAGAACAAACCTCGTCAACAACAGCAACTCCAAATTCATCATGATAGCGACTCAGACCAGCGGTAAGCGAAGCAATCAAGTGAATCTGGCCATACTTTCCTTTGTGAACCTTCATAAAACATTTTAATAGGTAGGACTCACATTCGCTCCAAGGTAGTTTGCGAAGTTGTCTCAGCACATGCTCAATAGAAGACTTATCAAGATCCGAGAAAAGTAGTTTTCTGATATACTGCAGAATTCATTATATAAAAGATTCATCACCGATACTCTCTCATACAAGATAAAAAATAACTGAACCTGAACATAATGATACCTGATGCAGTGGAGGACGAATTTTAGAGACTCGTGCTGATCTTTCTGGTGGTTTACACAGATAATAAGCATTCTCCACCAAGGTGCTGTGACGAGGATCCAGATTTTTGACATTTTTTAAGCGCATCAATATCTCCAACATGTTAGTCATGCGCAAAGCAGTTTCAGGAGACCGGTAAAGAAAACGGCCACAGGTCTCAAGAAGGTTGCAAGCAATGTCAATGTTATGATGAGTAAAATCATCTAAACAGGCCTGGCAAAAAGAGAACACACCACTTCTTTCAGTAAAATGAACAAACATAAACTAAATGTCTCAACCAATCTAGCAAAACTGCATCGACACCTTTGAACTATATTATAAACATCACAAGGCAAGATTTAGCAAAATATTGGTAATGATGATTAGACCAATAATGTTGAGCACAAAGAAAAACCACACAAACCGCTCCCTCATCAGCAAAAATGCATGTTAAGCTTTACTACCCTGTAGGAAAGAAAGTTGATACCAAGGGCAAAGTGCAAGGAAATAAAGCCTAAGAATAGCTTAGGGTGTCCTAAAAAAGAATATATTTTAACAGATAGGGACTGAAGCTCTCTGGAATGGTCTAAAAGCATGGGACAATGCAAGGCAGGTCTGGGATTTGAAGCAGACTGCTGTCAGATAACTAGTTCATTTCTGGGAGTTGGGCCAGGGAGTGGGTTAGTCACATAGGCATTCAGACCCAAAAAAGAAACGACCTGATCATACCTTTAAACAGCTAAAAACGAGGCCAGGTGGTGCAATTTTAAACTTGCAAAGCTCTCCAATAAATCGAATATTCCTGATCTTTGTTTCAATATTCATTTGATCCTGTAGCGAAACAAAAATTGTATGAAATTGATAAGCATCCAGGTTTTACTTTCACATAATGCATATCAAACTGCTAAACAGACCTTCTTATTAATCAGAAAACTAAATTCTTCCTCCAATAACTGTAACAACATGGAAGAGACATCCTTCATACAAGATGACAGTGTGGCAACCATACGAGAATAGTAAGGCAGCAGTTCTAGAGATGTCCTGGGGACACTAAACAAAGCCCTCACAAGCTTTTTCCGGTTGGACTTTGAATTTAAATAACAGAACTCTACCTGGAAAATTGATATAAAACAATATTAAGATCTCCACCACAAATTGTATAATAAATACATATGTGTCAGTGTATACAAAACATGAAAACTTGAGTGAGGACATGATGTAATTACAGTCAGCTGATCAATTAGGTCCCGGCTCACACAACCCGGAAGCCTCTGCAATAGTGTGTCCAAATTGGTTCCCTCAAGGACTTTGAGCTTCTCCTTCTCATTTTCTCCTTTTCTTGCAACATCCTTCTCTTTTCCTCTCTCTTTATCCGGATCTTTGGTCTTTTCTTTACCTTTTTCATCTTTATCCTTCCCTTTCTCATTTTCCCCCTCTTGCACAGCTACAGAATCTACAGAAACCTCTGCTGTGTCTTGGGTAGCCACCGTACCTTGGTCAGATTCAGCTGCCGAATCCTTTATATAACAATACCCATGTTAATAGAAAGTTAAGAATGAAACAAAAGATTCATCAAGAACTAAGTGAGTAACAGATCAACTTATGTATATGCCAACTTCTATGCACTATATTCTTTGTGGATGAAATGTTACCCAATCAATATGCAAACTGGGTGATGAAACATTTAAAATGTGCACAGACAACACTGCACAAAAAGTCTCTATGTTAGGCCCGACAATGTTTTATAGGTAAATCAAAGATACCCAATCCTACTTGAGTAAGTTAACATTTAAGTCATTCCCCAAGATTGCCCCAGGTATAATTAGTATGATGATCATCCCTAACTAAGTACATAGTTTTCACTGGCCATGCACCTACCAATCTCCTCCTCCTTTATAGTAAACTACAATGAATCTTAAAAAGGGATAAAACAGGTTAGGAAGCAAAGCAAATCCAAGTGTCTAAGTGAGTAGATTGTGAATAACTGTTCAACGGCAGGGATTATAAGGAGGCAAGCTTGAATTACAATGTTTGTAAGAAAAAGGTGGAAGGGAACACAAGTTGCTAAGGAAATATTTGTGCCATCACTGTAGGGATGATAGGAGATTATTCCCTTACAGATGGTTGTTCTTGTGTCTTTGGAGACTGCTCATTCACCTTAGGCTCTGCTTCTCCCAGCAATACTGCAGGAACAAATGCTCTGTACCAAACAAAAAAACATAATTATCTGTAGACGATTACATCTTACAATTACATGATGGAAAGTAGCATATACTGTGTGATGTGTCTTAATGAAACTTCAGATTGGAGAAAAACTATTCTAAGGAAACACATTCCACTAGACAATCAGACCAAGAAACATGTTTTTATTGTTTAATAGGCAAATACAAACACCCAATCAATACAAACCTGAGATCAGGCAAGCATTCATAAAAAGCCCTTGTATCCTCGTCGTCCCACATCGCCTCAAGAACAGAAGAATCTTTTCCTGCACCAGGGGATGACGTATCATCTCCAGTTGTCACCCTGGTGGTGTGACCATCCTCGGGTATCACAGGAGGTTGCATATCGAGCGCTTCTGCTAAACTATAATAAAAAAAATCAGGACATTAGTGAAATCATCAAAAGAATCCTTCTCCCTCTATCTCTCTCTCTCAAGTAAAGTGCGTTTAAAAGAAGCCCTATTATTTCAATGGTTTCAAACACATACAAAGACAGAAGTAGAAGTTATACAAACACATAAGTAGAACAGTGTGCAACCCAAAGCAGAAACAGCATTGAACCTAATACGCATTACTAGTGGAATTTCTGTGCTCATAAGATGCCAAAATCTAGCCCATCCCAGCCTATGGGAGGAAAAAACTAGATGTGAAAACAACACTTAGCATTGGAAGTATCAAAGCTCTTTCCAACCATTTTTATGTCAGGCTTGCATCAGATTTTCATGAACAGGTAAATACATGAATAGGATGCAAACAGAGGTAAAGAACCCTCGTCATCGAGTTGTTGAATTGTCTCTAGGGACTTGCCTATGTGGAAGTGTAGTCACTAAATCCTTCTTTAGGGTTGAAACATTCAAAGTCCTTGCAACCAAAATTTTGAGACAATATAATTCAATAAATTTCAAATGACAACTAGAATTGACAAAACACACAACCAAATACCTGCAAATTATTGCACCAAACAACCATAATCTATTAAATAACATTAATATCTATATAATAAAGTACAATGGATTTTAAATCCTCAACTTATCTTGAGCTATTAGCATCTCAGATTTGTCTGAATTTGTGCAAATTTGATCTGTGAAATGAATTGCCTTCTGATATTCTACTTGCCCCCTAAAATTTTCCTTTTTTACGCCCCAAACAAATGCCCTGATCAGATCTAACTATGGTACTGTTTCCCCCAATATCAGTCCCCTTCTCCTTTGATTCTCTTTCATCTCTTCTCCTCCCATCGACTTCCTCCCTCTCCCCCAATCTCTCTTCTTTGCCACCGACGCCAAAGACAATAGCAGCAATGCTGGCGAGCCGCTGCCAATCACAGGTATCTCTCTTTCTCTTCCTCTTACTCTCCTTTCTCACTCCTTCTCCCTCTCCGTCACTCGCCCATCCTTCACCACAATAACCCCACCCCACCCCACAACCAACCTCCAACCTCACCCACCACCTTCGTCCTCTCCCCAAAACCACAGCCACCTACCAGAACCCCAACAACCGCTGAACACGCCCACCATCATAGCCAAAACACCAACCATAGCCACCACCACCAACCAAACCTTCATCCCCCTTCCTCCTCTCACCAATGACTACAATGTGTTTGTGGTATTGATTCAATGAAATTTTTTGTGGAATTAAGTTGTCTATAAGACTATAACTTTATTTACTTGTTTGGTCTTTCTATTTTTGCCTTTTTAGTTCTAGGGGTTTGATTGCTAGGCATGGATTCATGAAACAATCTTGTGGATTTTTTTTGTGTGTGCAGTTGTAATTTGGGGGGATAATTATGTGAGGTTGTGTCAAAGATCTCACGTAGACATCAGGACAACAAAAAAGAGAAGATAGGGAGTTAAGGAAACGAAGACCATCTCAATGACCTTTCATGAACATCAAGACAAATCAGAAACCAGCTTCCCAAATCTTGACACACAAGCACAATCCGAATACATAAGAGCTCCCATCAAACATATATAATCTTTTGTACATCAGGTCCAAGCATTCTGCTTCATGTCAAAAGCCACCAAACTCATGTGACGCTCATTTGTTAGGGAGTCCACCTTCAAATGGAGAGAAAGATCCCCCCCCAGGGGGGACACCTCATTCAAAATTGCATAGTAAATACCAGTCAGGTTGTTTGCCTCAGTTTGCATTAGTCACCCAGATCCCGATCCATTTATTATTAGGTCAAATGCAGGATTACTAAAGACCCACTACGTCCATTAAATGGGTCTCATCCAATCCATTTATTTTGAATACTTGTCCAAATAAATTTTCTCCAGTCCCACAAGTTCATTCTAGTATCTCTGCTTCAAACTGAAATTGTTTACAAATGAGAATAAGTATGTGAAACTAATGGCCTACACATTCTGTTTCTATCACGGATGAGAATTTGAGCATCATAAATAGGCATGATAACTTTCAATAGTTATGTCTGCAAAAACGATATCATGAAGAAACTTACGCTGAGACACCTCGATAGAGCTGATCATAAGATTTTCGCAGCTTTTCATATAAAGAGGCATTTTCCTCGCTGAGTTCACCTTTAGCATTCAGAATCTTTGCATTCTCATGCTCCATTTGGCGAAGCGACTTCAATTCATGGGCAAAAAAGAAGCCCATTAATTGCAACTAATTAAAAGGAAACAAAATGCACAAGATTCCAACTTTTGTAAAGGTATCAATATTCATACAGTATGTTCTAACTGAAGCAGTTCTGCAGCAGCATCATAATACATATGAAACACCTTCCTGAAGAACTTCTTCTGATCTGCTGTGATATTAAGGCCCTTAGAAAACTGTAAAATCGATCAGCATGGACACTTAAGGATAGAAGAAGATTGGAAACGTATTGTTATAGGAAAATTTAATCACAGGATGCAAGTAAAGGAAGATTGCAACCAATCTTTGCATTTAAACAACGCGTGCATTAGTGTTTCCACATGCATTTGATTCCAAAGGGTATTCGCAGTCAATCACAAGATCATCAGAACTAGCAGTATTCTTAACGTTAAATTAGGCAGAATAATTCTAAGTTGATTTTAGAACACCATGGTGAAAAAACGATCCATGTAGCCGACCACGAAAATGTTGGGACAAGGCTGTGTGAGTTGTGTTGAGTTGACTTATATGAGTAGTATTCTTTTCGGCAAATACAAGTAGTTTTAAAAATCGTGCAAATTCTCAAATTAAACAATAGAACAACAAATCAAACAGCATTTATTTTGGAGAAACAACCATCCGAAAACAACAATAATCCCATCCAAGCCAAATGTAAAGTTAATGGTAAGATGATGATTTCAAGTCATAATGAAAGAACTACCAACGTATAAGACCACCAAAAAAAGGAAAAGGTTCACCTCTTCAAGAATTTCTTCTCCAGACTGAGGAAGCCCCAGGAAATATCTCCCTTGTCGAGCAAAACTAGTAAGAAGAGACAAATTCGTCTGGGTTGCATCTCGGTCCTTTAAGTGTTCTGTGCTAGTGAGATCCTTAATAATATTTACAAAAATGCCACAGTCTTCTATAACTCCAACCAAGTAAAGTTCCAAAAGGAGTTTTAAAGTGCTGCGCTTTTTCATGGCCCTCAAATTTTTGTCTGCATCTAAGTCTTCTACAGATTTTCCTGGAAAGAAGACTTTCAAGAGGCCTTGAACCAAGCTCGAGGAAAAGTCTGTGTACCTTTGATGAAGAAACGAACAGATCTGACGTGGCAGAAAAAAGAGATTGTCAGAAAATATACAGGATCGTAAGAAAAAACAATTTAACACATAGGTATATCTAAATTCAAGTACTCAACAAAGCCTTGTCCACCTATTTGGGTGGCTACATGAGTCTAGTTCCACAAAGAGCTCAAGCAGTCCGTAATTCAGATACTAAAAAGCATTTATGAAGGCACCTGCACGGGATTCAAGTACCCAAACCAAAAAACTCAACTGCTGACGTACATAACTGTCTTTTATTGCAACACATGATGTACGATCACCATAAGCACATGTTGAACTTTTTTTGATGGGAAACAGAACTTTTATTTCACAGAAAGATGCAATTGTGCATAATTGATGGATAAAAAGTCCACCGAAAAGTTCAAGAATTAAGGTAAAATAAAATAAACCATCTACTACAAACAGCTTTCCAATTGTTTTAAAGAACCAACAAAGGAAAATTACGAAACTCATTAGCGACCACAATCCAAAGAGACGCCAAGTACTTCACTCTATCCCATTGCAATTCCCTTTCCTCCTTTCCTTCAAAGATTCTACGATTCCTTTCCATCCCACCACTCAAAAAATGAAGTCACGCATCTCCATAAAGCTGCAGCTTTTTTACCGCTTCCAAGACCATCAAGACACATCACTAAAAAAGAAGCACAATTACAAGGTGTAACCCAACTAAACATTGAACAAGTATCCACCAACCAAGGTACCAATTCATGCAAGCATTGGAATTTCAAATAAAATGTCACCATATGGGTCTCATATTTTCCAATCCTCTCGCTATATGCACGGGAATCGAGTCATGTCAGTGCCACCTCAGCACAACAAGGTCACCTCACCATTTGACCAACCGCACTGGACACATAATGTGTGGAGCAAAAGAAGGTTCATTTGATGACCTTAGCCAGCAGATTCATATAAATTTTTTTGGCAGGATGGAATCAGTTTGTCAATGATTGAAAAAAAAAATCAACTTAAGACCATAACATATATGCGCTGGAATTTTGCACCATTTGTAAGTCCTATCTATTGAATGAAATAATAAGAAAATATTTAACTTAAATAAGCATAAACCACATGACCGAAATGAATGGCGAAGATAGACTCATATAGCCGACCCCAAATGATTGAAACATAAGACTTGGTTTGATTGATTGCATCGGCGGAACCACATGGGGACCAGGGTGGGCACTCCCCCCCCCCCCCCTTTTGAACCATCTTAGATGAGGACCCATAAAATTATTTTATATATTATATTTGCCCCTGTAAATTTTTGAAAATTTCAATAATGGCTGTAGTCTTTTCTTTTTTTCAATAAATTTTGTGGTCCACTAACACTTTAAAATAAATATATTAATTTTGGATTGAGCCAATCAGATGTAACTATCCTGATCTATTTGTACATTGACGAAAATACAATATTTCTCTTTATCTAACATAATGTTCGTTACTTTCTAAGAATAATTTCTAGTTTTCATTAACTATTTTTTTAGTAATAGTAGTCCATAACCTAATAAAATACGATTGTATACAAACGACAAAAGGTTGAAATCAAAAAATATTTCAAGCTATTTCGAATAGGAAATTTCTCTATAAGGTCGATAATGATCTCAACTAAATTTTATAATTAAATGAAGAATAATTTTACTGCGGATTTGTGATTGTGCGGATTGATAGAAAATTAGTGAAACACTAATTTACATTTAATTCATATACAAAATTTTAGAGATTTTAAAAAAATATATATATTTTATTGAAACATATAATTAGGTTAAAATGTACTAAAAAATTATTTTGTATCTTTTTGTTAGGATTTTGTTTCGGCTAAATAAAAATTAAATTTACAATTTTATAATAATTATGTCTTGATTCTTACTTTTTTGTCATTCTTAAACTGAATTCTTTTGTATCAATTTCGGCTAAATATTTTTTTTGTATCAGTTATATTTTGCGCCCTCATAGATATTCCTATCTCCGCCCCTGGTTGGTTGTTTGTAAGTCTTATCCATTAGATTCCTGTTTCAAGTCTTAATTCTTGCCGAAGTGACTAATTGAGTAACTATATCCTCGCGCGTAGGCATGCCATTCACAACACTACTAAGAACCAGTCTTACCCCTTCAACTTCTTTACTATTTTTCCAGCAGCTGAGATTTCATATGGCTTTATTGCTCCAACTAGGCTCTAAAGTTTTATAGGTTTTCTAAAGTAGTACATCTTTTGAAAGGTTTTCTTTCTTTCTTTCTTTGCTCTTAAGAGATCCCTCATTTTTCTCAAGTAGACTCATCATTCTATCCTAATATACCTACTCACTAAAATAAATAAAACTTTACTCTATAATTCATTTATTTTTATTCTTTGACTTTCTTTATAGCAGAGCACGAATTGCTACCTACTAGGTGACATACAGGAACACACATGGATCAGACATATTTCACTTAAACCAGCAAGCCAAAAGCCACACATCATATGCCAAAAACTTGCTAAAAACAAATAGTAAATAGGCATTGGCTAGGTAATCAAATTTTTAGGGATAAACATAAAAAAAAAAAATTGAATTCAACCTTTTTGTCTGAGACAGATGAGCACACCCACCAGCAGGCTTCAACCAATATCTCAGGAACAATAACCCAAGGAAATTTATATGATGTTTTTGTAATAAATCAGCTAAATCAATAGCTACCTGAACTGCAGCTTGTATGTCTGAAGTTCTAAGCCTGGCATCACAAATAGCTGTCACTGCTTCACTAACAAACTTGCTTAAGTTGACGATTCGCAACTCATCCATCAAACCTTCCCGCTGCTCCTCACTTATCTGCTTAAGTTTTTTTATAACTGCTGTGTTGCGTTTAATGCTGGAGTCTAATGTCCTGAGGAAACCAGAATCTGAACCAACAGTGCATCAAATCAACATCCATGAAAAGGAATTCATGTCCAAAAGATATGACAATTTTTATGAGACTGTCAAAAGCANAATTTAAATTTACACACACACACATAACTAAAACCTGTAAAAATATAGTGTCTGAAATAACATAAATACCATTCAATAACAATTCTCAATCAATAACATCAAAAGTTAATATGCACAATGTATAATGAAAGCATCACATGAATTCAATTTCGAAAGAAATGCTAACTTTTGAATATCCTGTGAATGAGAACAATTTAGAAGAAAGACAAATGGAAAAAATTGTTTGGCAACAGAATTTCAGAAGGCCTAATAAAATTGCCGCCCATAAGGCTAACATCATGGATGCAGTCATAAATAATATGTTTACATTCCAGCACATAGAATTGCTAATGACTCTAAATACCCACTAAAGAACTTCAAAGTTCAAATATCAACTATCTAAAGTAACATCAGTTTTTGTCTTTTTGCTCATTTATTATCACTGACTGAAGTTCATATATCAGCTAATCCAGAGTATCACCAGCTTCATTTGTTCTAAGGTGTCATCTAGCAAAAACAGTACAGTACTTGGTCATCACATTCTGGTCACATTAAAAGAATCACATATTTAATGTTACTACAAAATTCCAACTCTAAAGTACAAAAAGACCAATTAGAAATTTCCAAATTTTGGAAGGAAAGCAACATGGACTTAAAAGTACACAATCTCTTGCAGATACTAACCAGGTCTTTCAGGGTTCAAGTTACTCAGACGAAGATCCATTTTTGCTTCAACTGATTTCTTAAATTCCTCAAGACGGGCAACAGTTCCCTGCAAATGGTATATGATATATTCTTATTTTAGTGAGTTCACTCAAAAGTCAGAAATTCTAGATGTTAGAATAAAAGCCACTTATCATTGTTCTAATTTTTAAAAGGTAAACGGGAAAGAATAAGATAGTTGTTTACGATTAACATTGACTTAATCACATATATGACAACAATAAAGTACAAAACAATGCAGAGAATATACAATGACCTAAGAGAATCACTTTGAGAAGCTGTGCACCAAATGAGACACTTAATGTTCAGGTTGTAACTTACAAGTAATCTTTGTTAATACCACAATCTCACCTCATCATTTTGTTTGTCATGATTTTCACCTCCAACACGACAATCATCCTCGGGGTGTTCCATCTGGCTGTCTGCAACAACAGAATTACATATTAACAAGGAAAGTCACTTAGAGGACTATCAAGAAAATCCAACCATATAGCAGAACAAAACAAAAATAAAACCTACAAAAAACTTGCAAGAAACCCCACCTATTAGGCACTATAAACAGTTAAACTAAGTATACCTTGCGAAAAAAACATACACCATATCTCATACAAAACAGTAATCACCTTTTTGTACAATGACTAAAAGGGTTCTAATCTAGATATTGATAAGGCTTCTGGGAAAGCTTGCTAGGCGCATAGAAGTACCACAAGTGCTCATACAAAAATGAACCACTTATACATGTCGTCAAGATAATATATTTGCATTAAAATGCGCTAGTCGCCATTCCAAGGTCAATTTTTCAGAGTCATAGGAGAAAGAATGCATCTACTCTAATCGATAGTACCATCAGTCGAATTAATGACATTAATTTTTATTTTAGTGCTCACCATGTACCCAATTACTCAATCAACTGAATCAATAGTATACAAGCTTTGCTGAGCAGAAGTTGGACTCAAATAAAACAGATTGCAAGAGGTAAAAAAAACAATTTTTTTTTAAAACAATCACATAACCATATTACTGGGTAAGCATATTGAGAGAGAGTCGGAAACTATCTGCCAGACTGCCTTCCTACTGCGACAAGCAATCCCAATCTATAAACACCTACACCCATAACATAGTCTCACTCTAAGAGTTTAGTAGTCAATACATTCATCATAAACACCAAAATATCATCAGCTTTAAGAATGTAATGACAACAAGCACATATGGAACACCAAAAATTAAAATGTTAAAATCACTTTCGTTAAAAAATTAATCAAACTGTTGCGCGCGCGCACACACTCACTCACACAGATCAGAATAAGACAATATTTACCAGGATTATACACAATAGACCTAAATTAAAGCGCGTAAACAGAATATAGGTATGAAAAATAAGTAGAAATGACTGCAAAAGCATCAATTTCATCTCCTAATCATCCGAAAACGGAACGATTCCATTCCGCCTGTGAGATCCCCACAACAGCTAATGAAAAAGAGGAAGAAGAAGTGGGTGTTAACGGAAAATCGCCGGAGAAAAAAAAGGAAGAAAGAATACTTACTGGAAGGGCACCGAAGACTCGTCTGATACGAAGAGAAAATTAGAGAGCAGAGAAACTCTGTAGTGGCAATCCGACGTACGGTTTCTGGGAAGAAATAAACCCAAACCAAAAGTGCACCGACTTGTGAGTTTTCATGGCTCGTAGTCTCGTACTCGGAAGAAAATATTGGGTCTTACACTTCCACCACGTCATTTGTGTAACCCTTTAATAATAAATTAATAAATAGATAAATAAATCTTATATAATTAAATTACTACTAATTACCGAAAAAATATATATATATAATTATATTATATTAAACTGGATAAAGTCTAACTATGCAATAAACAGAATTGGAGTTATATTTATACACTATTATACAAAAATAATGCACTAATAGTGACGCAGATCTTCATAATCAATAAATAAGAAATTAGAATTTATAATCTGAGCCTTATAAAACACAATATTTTTAAGACAAATTTGCTCCCTCTTAGAGTGCAAAATTGATAAGCAACTATCTCCAAAGATAGAACTGATTTTCATTCTTGAAAAAAGTAGCACTTTAATCTTCAAGATTCCAGCAAACATAACTTATGTTTATATTTGAATCGAACCAAAGGAATAATGTAACAATATATAGAGAGAGGGAAGAAATTCTAAAATTAGAATCCAGAATTGAGATGACAATGGGACAGTCTATTTATAGACCCTTGGTGGCTGTTCAGATTGCCTGAAAAAACATAGGTTGTCACTGTCAGATTGAAAAGATATACTCTTTAATATGAACAAGCAATAGGCACCTCCTGGATTGAGCAAGCTCTCTGAAATGAACTCAGACCTCCTTTGACTCCAACTTCAAAGAAAGTAACGGGAAGAAATTTAAGTAGCGTCTGGATTCGATTGTTTTGACCTATGATCCACACCNAAACAATGCAGAGAATATACAATGACCTAAGAGAATCACTTTGAGAAGCTGTGCACCAAATGAGACACTTAATGTTCAGGTTGTAACTTACAAGTAATCTTTGTTAATACCACAATCTCACCTCATCATTTTGTTTGTCATGATTTTCACCTCCAACACGACAATCATCCTCGGGGTGTTCCATCTGGCTGTCTGCAACAACAGAATTACATATTAACAAGGAAAGTCACTTAGAGGACTATCAAGAAAATCCAACCATATAGCAGAACAAAACAAAAATAAAACCTACAAAAAACTTGCAAGAAACCCCACCTATTAGGCACTATAAACAGTTAAACTAAGTATACCTTGCGAAAAAAACATACACCATATCTCATACAAAACAGTAATCACCTTTTTGTACAATGACTAAAAGGGTTCTAATCTAGATATTGATAAGGCTTCTGGGAAAGCTTGCTAGGCGCATAGAAGTACCACAAGTGCTCATACAAAAATGAACCACTTATACATGTCGTCAAGATAATATATTTGCATTAAAATGCGCTAGTCGCCATTCCAAGGTCAATTTTTCAGAGTCATAGGAGAAAGAATGCATCTACTCTAATCGATAGTACCATCAGTCGAATTAATGACATTAATTTTTATTTTAGTGCTCACCATGTACCCAATTACTCAATCAACTGAATCAATAGTATACAAGCTTTGCTGAGCAGAAGTTGGACTCAAATAAAACAGATTGCAAGAGGTAAAAAAAACAATTTTTTTTTAAAACAATCACATAACCATATTACTGGGTAAGCATATTGAGAGAGAGTCGGAAACTATCTGCCAGACTGCCTTCCTACTGCGACAAGCAATCCCAATCTATAAACACCTACACCCATAACATAGTCTCACTCTAAGAGTTTAGTAGTCAATACATTCATCATAAACACCAAAATATCATCAGCTTTAAGAATGTAATGACAACAAGCACATATGGAACACCAAAAATTAAAATGTTAAAATCACTTTCGTTAAAAAATTAATCAAACTGTTGCGCGCGCGCACACACTCACTCACACAGATCAGAATAAGACAATATTTACCAGGATTATACACAATAGACCTAAATTAAAGCGCGTAAACAGAATATAGGTATGAAAAATAAGTAGAAATGACTGCAAAAGCATCAATTTCATCTCCTAATCATCCGAAAACGGAACGATTCCATTCCGCCTGTGAGATCCCCACAACAGCTAATGAAAAAGAGGAAGAAGAAGTGGGTGTTAACGGAAAATCGCCGGAGGAAAAAAAGGAAGAAAGAATACTTACTGGAAGGGCACCGAAGACTCGTCTGATACGAAGAGAAAATTAGAGAGAAGAGAAACTCTGTAGTGGCAATCCGACGTACGGTTTCTGGGAAGAAATAAACCCAAACCAAAAGTGCACCGACTTGTGAGTTTTCATGGCTCGTAGTCTCGTACTCGGAAGAAAATATTGGGTCTTACACTTCCACCACGTCATTTGTGTAACCCTTTAATAATAAATTAATAAATAGATAAATAAATCTTATATAATTAAATAACTACTAATTACCGAAAAAATATATATATAATTATATTATATTAAACTGGATAAAGTCTAACTATGCAATAAACAGAATTGGAGTTATATTTATACACTATTATACAAAAATAATGCACTAATAGTGACGCAGATCTTCATAATCAATAAATAAGAAATTAGAATTTATAATCTGAGCCTTATAAAAAACAATATTTTTAAGACAAATTTGCTCCCTCTTAGAGTGCAAAATTGATAAGCAACTATCTCCAAAGATAGAACTGAATTTCATTCTTGAAAAAATAGCACTTTAATCTTCAAGATTCCAGCGAACACAACTTATGTTTATATTTGAATCGAACCAAAGGAATAATGCAACAATATATAGAGAGAGGGAAGAAATTCTAAAATTAGAATCCAGAATTGAGATGAATTGAAATGACAATGGGACAGTCTATTTATAGACCCTTGGTGGCTGTTCAGATTGCCTGAAAAAACATAGGTTGTCACTGTCAGATTGAAAAGATATACTCTTTAATATGAACAAGCAATAAGCACCTCCTGGATTGAGCAGGCTCTCTGAAATGAACTCAGACCTCCTTTGACTCCAACTTCAAAGAAAGTAATGGGAAGAAATTTAAGTAGCGTCTGGATTCGATTGTTTTGACCTATGATCCACACCGTTTCAAATAATTTTTGTCCAAAAAAATTATGTCATTTGGGCCAAAACCCGACCGGGTCGTGGTGTGACGAAGCGGGTGGCGAGCGTGTATGGTAGCCAAGATAGTGTAGACGTTTGCTCTGCTCACAAAAGTGTGGTATTCTTTTGGGCCCAACTCATTAAGTCAACTAGGAATATATTAATTCGCCAAAGTATTGATCTTATTGATCTTCTTCTAATGTGGGACAAGCTTTATTTCACTACATTAATCTTAGTTTATTTCATCACTTTAAATAAATCACTTTGAAACATAAGTTTTTATTCAAATCTTAATGATTTTTGACAAATAAATATACTAAGTTAATCTCCTCACAGAGTAGAATGCGTTTAAACTTGATCCCACTAATTTCAAGATATGAGTCCCATTTTTATTTAGATCTCAAACTACTCATAATTTGTTTAAAACCATTTTTTTCAACAATCAATTTATGATAATGTAGACACTGGTTCAAGTACAAGTTNTCAAGATATGAGTCCCATTTTTATTTAGATCTCAAATTACTCATAATTTGTTTAAAACCATTTTTTTCAACAATCAATTTATGATAATGTAGACACTGGTTCAAGTACAAGTGAAAGATTACTGCATCTGGATAAGTAGCTAGTGGTCTTGAACTTGTCGTAATGACAAACTATCGGATTTACTTGGCTATCCAGTAGACATGATATCTTTAAACTGTCAGTCGTTTGTGTAAACCTAGACAATAGAATTCACAAAGTTTCCTTTGGACACAGTTGATTCTCACGTTTGTATTCATTTTGGCCTTGAACACTACTTGGTTTTATNATTCACAAAGTTTCCTTTGGACACAATTGATTCTCACGTTTGTATTCATTTTGGCCTTAAACACTACTTGGTTTTATGAGTAATTTAGAGTAATTTAGCCTACAATTCTAATAGAAGCGCCCTTTTTTACACACAAATGTGATTTCTGATTAAGAGTATTCTGTTACACACAAATGTGATTTCTAACTCCACTTGATTAAGAGTAACTTATCCTAGTTATTGCGACATATGTGCACTGTCTCATCATATGAATTGGAAGGAGTTTAGAAAATCTCCTCAATGCGTATTGAGTTACATATAATTCGGTTGNGATGCTTGTTTTAAACCATATAGAGATTTAAAAAACTTGTAAACTTTATTTTCTTGTTCAATAACAATGAACCCCTCAAGTTATTCCATGTATATTTCTTCATCTAATTCACCATTTAAGAATACTACTTTTACGTCCATTTGATGTATTTCAAGACCATTTAGTGCAGCTATAGTAGTTAATATCCGTATGGAGGAATTCTAGTAACTGGTGAACAAGTGTCAAAATAATCCAATTCTTTCATTTGTTTATATCTTTTGGTTACAAGTCTAGCTTTATACTTGTCAATGAATTCATCGACTTTTATCTTATTTTTAAAGATCCATTTATAGCCTAAAGGTTTGTTACATAGTGGAAGATCCACCAACTCTCATTTATGATTCCTTACAATAGATTCGATATCAGAATCGACACCTTTCTTCCATGAAGGAGTTTCAGGGGAGGACATAACTTCTTTGAAAATTTTGAGGATCATTTTCTAATAGATACGTTAGAAAATCAGGACCAAATGACTTTAAAGTCATTGGCCGCTTATTACATCTATGTTCATCTTCAATGAACTCCTCGTTTTGACAATTACTAGTTGCAGCCTCAATTGATCTTTTTAATGAGGTTGATTCATGTGACATATTAAATAAAAAATTATTTTCAAAGAATTACGCATTTGTCGACTCTCTAATTGTATTAATATGCATATCAGAAATCTTAGATTTATAAACGAGAAATCGATATGCATTTTTGTTTTAGGTATAACTAATGAATATACAATCAATGATTTTTTGGTCCTATCTTAACTTTTTTAGGTTAGGAACCGCCACTTTTGCTAGATATACCCACATTTTTAAGAATTTATACGAAGGGCTTTGATATTTCTATAATTCATATGGTGTTCTATTAGTTTTCTTATAAGATACCTTGTTAACAATATAATTAGCATATAATAAGGTTTTCTCCCCCAAGTTTTGGGATACTCCCGAACTTGACAACATAGCATTCATCATTTCTTTTAATATTCAATTTTTGCATTTAGCTACGCCATTTGATTGAGGTAAATAAATGGCAGTCATTTAGTAAATAATTTCATGTGTTGCACAAAACTTTTCAAAAGAAGATTCATATTCTCCACCACTATCACTTTTTAGTGCCTTTTTCTTTCTATTAAGTTAATTCTCAACTTTATTCTTATAATGTTTGAACATATCAATAACCTCATCTTTACTTTTAATTAAGTAAACATAATAGTATTTTATGCAATCATCAATAAAAGTGATAAAATATTTTTTTACCATCTCTTGTTTGCACAAACTTTAAGTTACAAATATTACTATGAATTAATTCAAGAGGTTCGGTACTTCTTTCAATTGACTTGAAAGATGTTCTTGCCAACTTTGATTCTACACAAATCTCACATTTATGATTTGAATCAATAGACATATTAGGCAAATCATTCAAATTAATTAATCTTTTAATTGCATCATAATTAACATGTTCTAGTCTAGCATACCACATATTAAAAGACTCAACCAAGTAAAAAGAATTCATCTAATTCTTATTAATAGAAGATGTTAGTACATCAGTCATTACATTGAACTTAAAAAGCTCATCACTCATGTATTCCTTCCCTACAAACATCTTATTCTTTGTGAATACAAATTTGTCAAATACAAAGACTAACTTAAAGCCATTCTTACTAAGTAAAGAATCGAATACTAGATTTTTGCGAATATTTGGAACAAGAAGCACTTCGTTCAAGGTGAGTTCCTTGTCGAATGTCATCTTGAATATCACATTGCTACTTCCTTCAATCTTGGAGGTAGAGGAATTCCCCATACAGAGTTGTTCATCATTCTCTAGTTTTATATAAGTAGAGAACATCCATTTGTTAGAACAAATATGTCGAGTAGCCCCAGTGTCCACCCATCACTCATTGTGGCTACCCATTAAGTTGCATTCTGAAACAACTGCGGAGAGATTCATGTACTTGACTTCCATAGAAAGCTTGTCTATTTCAGTCATGTTTGCTTGAGAATTAGGCTTTTGAAATTCTTTGGCTTACTACAGTCTTTTGAAATATGTCCCGATTTACCACAATTGTACCACTTACCCTTGAATTTCTTCGATCATTGAATTAGACCATCACTATTATGCTTCCTCTTTTTTTTAGCCTTTATTCCTCCTTCCACAATGTTGGCTTTGGATTCTATTAAGTTAAAGACGTCATTTTTCTTCTCAGATTTATGGTTATCCTCCTTGATTCTCAAGTGAATAATCAAATTTTCAAGTCTTATCTCCTTGCACTTATACTTGAGATAGTTTTTGAAATCCTTCCATAGGGGTGGCAAATTTCTCCACAATTGCAACCACTTGGAACAACTCACTAAGGATAACTTGAAGTTTTTGAACTTGGGATATGACTGTTTTGGAATCCACAATTTTGAAATCCAAGAATTTACTAACAATGAACTTCTTCGTGCTGGTATCCTTGGTCTTGTGCTTTTTATCGAAGGACTCCCAAAGTTCTTTCATGGTTTTGAAAACATTGTATAATGCATTGTCTAACCATTTAAGGATGTAATTTCTGCACAATAAATCCAAATGCTTCCAAGTATTCACAATAATCACCTTTTTCACATTTGTTTCATTCTCATCAAGTGAAATAACATATTCTTTCAAATTTTTTGCAAAATTAAGGGTGGTGAGATAAAAAATGTATTTTAGATTGTCAATGTTTGAAGTCTGAGTCATTGAACTTTTCGGGCTTCTCTCTATGAGACACACTCACAGTCACGATTGTAAGAGCAACTGTTGTACGAACAACAGAATCATTTAAAGTTTGTTATTTCTGTTACACAAATAGAAACAATAATTTAATACTAAAATCAAAGTAAAGCAATAACAAAATACAAAATTATGTTTTTAGAATTATAACAGTATTTAATCTAATTATATTCAAAATATGTCTTAAGATTGTTACTGAAAATATGTATATAATTAGATTATTATTAAACTATATAAATTCTAACTCATGCAATAAATAGAATTGAAGTTATATCTATATAATGTTATACAAAAACAGTGCATTCACAGATCTGCACGATCAATAAAAAAGAAAATCAGAATTTATAATCCGAGCCTTGTGAAACACAATCTCATTAAAACAAATTTGCTCATTCTCGGTACTTAAGGTTGATGAGAAACTGTCTCCTAAGATAAAATAGATTTTCGTTATTGAAGAAGAAGCAGCACTTCAATTTTCAAGATTCAAGTAAACACAATGTGTTTATATTTGAATCGAACCCAAAGAATAATGCAACAATATGTAGAGAAAGAGNATGTGTTTATATTTGAATCGAACCCAAAGAATAATGCAACAATATGTAGAGAAAGAGAAGAAATTTCAAAATTGAAATTCAGAATTAAGATGAATTGAAATGGTAATGAGACATTCTATTTATAGACCCTTGGTCGTTGTTTAGATTGCATGAAAAGGCATGAATTGCTACTGTTCAGATTGAAAAGACACATTCTTTAATTTGAACAAGCAGTAGGCAACTCCTGGATTGAACAAGCTTTTTGGAATGAACCCAGATCTCTTTTGACTCCAAGTTCAAAGAAAGTAACGAGGAAGAAATTTAAAATCCGGTTGGATTTAAATTCCAATCCATGTTTGAATTCAATTGATTTAACTCATGATCCGCACCACTTTAAATAAATTTTGTCCAAAAAAATTATATATTTTGGCTCGAACCCAAACCCGAGCCCGAGCCCGAGTCCAAACCCAAACCCAAGCTCGACCGCGTGGAGTGCGCGTGTGTAATAATCAAGATAATGTAGGCATTCACTCCACTCACAAAAGTGTGGTAACCCTTAGAGCCCAACCCATACAATCAATTAGAAGTATATTAACTCACCAAAGTAATGGTCTTCTTCTAATGTGGGACAAACCTTATTTCATTACACTAATCTTAGTTTATTTTATCACTTCAAATAGATTATTTTGACATATAATTTTTCATTCAAATCTTAATAGTTTTGGATAAATAAATATACCATGTTAATCTCCTTGCGGAGAAAAAAGTGTTTAAACTTGATCCCACCAATTTTGAGATGTAGATCCAACTTTTATTTGGCCTCAAATTGTTCAAATAATTTGTTTAAAATAATTTTTTCCAACACTTGTCATATTATAATTATCCATATAAGATTCACTTGGACTACTTATTATTTTATTATTGGACAGTTATACTATGTCAGCGTGATGATATCCGTGACATCTACTATTTACTTTAGACTTAGAGCATGAGCTTTTTCTAAACCCTACATTATAGCAACGACATAGTGTCACCCTTAGAAAAAAAATATTTTTTCAAAAAAATCTTATTGTTGAATTTAAAAAACAATAAGCGACTAAAATTTGAAATTAGAAGATGGGGATCAAATCCCAACTCCGAATGGGCAAAAAAAATGTAGAGAATATGAAATTCGGTAGACAATTTTTTTTTTTTTTATAAACCGACTTACTGACATCCAAAAAAAATTTAGAGCAACATTAGATCTCCTTAACCATCATTTTACGCCATTATTTATATAAAAAGATAAGATTGACTTTATGTAAAAATTTCATTCGTTACGAAATATTCTACCACATTTTTAAACGACCGTCTTCAAGGCGTACACATGAAAGTACAATTAGTTCCACAAATCTAATGACATTGCCTACAGCAAACTTCTTCTCGTTGTACCAAAACATAGGTATGATTGAAACGACCAATAGATATATAGTTGGTGATCAATTCCTTATTTTGTGATAGTTAATTTCTCACCTAAAACTAAGGTTTAATGCATATCATAGTTAATCTATTGGTGCTCAATAATATCACTTTGGCCTTAATATTATCCCTTCTATTGACCAAGATAAGAAATTTACAGCATAAAAGTTTCCACTCTTTATCTCCCTGTCAACAGAATGGAAAAAAATCAAATTGAAAGGGGGGAAAAAAAAAACCAGACTGACACAAATAGTGGAAAATGAGGGTATAATTGTTTTCTTCTTAGAGAAAACAGTGTGGCAACAACATTGCAAAGATAAGAATAACAAAAACCAAGTGAGAAATAAAGACAACTTAAATAACAAGTGATAGCATCCACAAACTTCGACTAATTTTTATGATATATGAATGTGTATGATTTCCTTAATCTTCATAGTCTAACATTTTAATCCAAGTCCAACGATCATTCTGCAGAATCCTAGTAACTGAGGAAGAATCCTTTAACATCATCAAGACAGAGCATTTGAGATGCATGAGAAGGCAGATCCTGGATGCTTTAGCAGCAGAAGTCGTGGTTAGGTTCCCTTGATGGCCTAGCATGTGATAAATCTACTCAAAAGTCGCCCACGCATGCATTGTGATCATAGGATCTCTTGGGAGTGACTACCCCAACTGACTTTGCATAGTAAGCCTAGCAACTCATCTTTCAACTCAACCGGTCCACATACTGCCAACAGAGTGCTTCCTTACCGATTCAAGTCAATTGCTGGAGGACCGGTGAAACTGCCTGGCTTCAGGAGGAAGGCACTAGTGAAAGACACCCTATATTTCAGTGAATCAATTGATGAGGAATTGGCAAAATCAAATGCTAATTTGTGGCTAAAAATAACAATATCAGTTTCTAGCTACCTTAAGCAAGCAAAGTTCTAATGAATGTAAAGAGTAAATTACTTTCCAACTGTCAATGTACAATGATTTAAAGTGTTGAATATCCAAACTAAAGTATGTATAAGGGTACTTTTTCTACTTGTCCTGAGCCACATTCTCCAAGACTTTATAAATTATCAGAAGATGGGTCTCAATGATTCTCTTCTAATCTTTTTCTTTTTAAAGTTCTCAACTATATATGCAGAACTCAAGGTGACAAGGTTATAACCATTATATATCTATCATTAAGTGACTAGAGGATAAATGTATGCCAGCAATTAATTCCAAAAGTGGACTATGTCAATCAATTAATGTGGTCATTTGTTTCTATAAAATCTAATATCATTGTTCCCTCTCAAACTTCAATAAACAATAAGTCATATCCATGTATGTATGTAAAAGAGGACATACTTTCCAATTAACATGGCTAGTGAGCCAATCTCCATCTCTGGAAACAAAGAAAAGAAGAACAAGAACAAGAAAAAGCCTGTATTTCAGATTTTCTTTGTAGGATTTAAGTGCTGACTTCAGAACATGAAAATTGAAAAACAACGTCAGGCCAAACAAATTACATTTCAGAACCAGTGTTGCATACCTGGAGAGCTTGCTTGCCTGAAATTTGAAGCTGCCACGGGATTTTCCCAGCCCCTTCAGTGTTGAATTTGTCATAACCAGCCTCTCTAGTTTTATCTTTGCCTTCCTGCAAAATATGCATGAACAGGCCCAATATAAGCAAATTTCCACTCTGACAAAAACTAAGGCACATTTTGATATCCAATGGAAATTGAATGACTCCACCATTGTGCCCTAATGCCACAAATTGGTCATACAATGAAGAATCTGTAAAACAAAATGCATGGAATGTACATTATGCACTTGAGGAATTTCCTAGAAGAACCTTTCGATTTTTAATTATCACTTGAAATATTTTATGCCTTTTTCCTGTCCAACACGTTGGATAGAAAATAGCTGTTTCTTGGTGATATCCAAACAAAGTACTTAAACAAGCCATTGCAGCAGGGGCACACAAAAAGAATCAATAATCTAACATCTGTATGCCAACATCAATTGCATGAAGTGAAAAATCACTTTTGATAGGAAATCCAATGAACCCTGTTATGTTTACATGCTGGTATATTTCGGCCTGCAGTTGTTAAGCTGTAATTCCAGCTCAGACCTCATCCATGCTACTGATCCAACTGATGAAGACCAATCAAAGCTGATACTGGAGCTTCAAACTAACAAATCTAACATCAGCCAGTTAGGCTAACAGATGTAGCTTAGCTGGCACAGCTTGTTGTAACTAATTATGTACACGTGAGGCAGAGACCATGTGATGTAAACTAACTCAAATCTCTATATAAATACCCATCAGTAGTAATAGAAAGATGTGATGGAATTATTCTGAATAATTGAAATCTTCTCTGCTCTCCTTCTCTCTCTATCTTCTTCTTCCTCATTGCTTGAATCTGATTCTGTTAAGCATTGACTTTGAAGTTGCCGATCAGAGTAATAGCATGAGCTACTGCCGGTCCAACTGCAGCTATTTCCTTTTCTAAAGTTTTCTCTTACATAGCTGGCAGGTCCTTGTTTATATATTGTCTACATTATCTGGTGTAAACTATTTCATTTTAACTTCTTACCCTTGGCATTTCTTCTTAGAAATGAGGGCACAATGCATCAATCGTGCCTTTCACCAAACTCTGGCCCAGAGATGCCTATGGTCATCTGGTTTCTTTGGTAGCGGGGGCAGGCATCACAGCACTCATCTGCTTCTGTATTCTCTTTGTATGCACACTAACTGCAATGTTAAACAAAACCATAGAGTTGGAATGCGAATACATTTTAAGCCTCATGCATCTACCAGAAAATGTGCATACATACATATAAACAGGATTTAAATAATAATAGAACTTTTTGGAATCTGATTATGTGATTATATTTATTCTTAGCAAATATATATATACATACATACATATATATATACACGGAACATGAAGAAAATGAGTTAATATCACACTAGTGCAAGAGAAAAATCGAGACTCTCATACTAGTAAATCTCATGCAAAGCTAGTTTGTAGAGAAAAACCCATATTTAGGTCACTTAGGTGGATTTGATTTGCTCTCAATTAATTAACTCAGAATAAAAGAGGCATGTCAATTTAGCACTCAAGAGACAGGTTTACAGACTCACAGCCATATCAGTGATATCTCTGCCACCAGATAGTTGTAGGATATATGACGTTGATTTTAGTGCTACCAGTAGTCTCCACAGGAACAAAATCCACCACGGAAATGATGGAAACGGTTTGTGTCCCTCAAAATGATTTCTCTGTCCAACAGCTTTGACACAAATTTAAATGCTGTATGGCAATCACCACAAACTCTTATGTTCTTCTTGATCCGGATGGTGGATCCAGGTGGTGCATTCAAAAGTGCAAATGCTAGAGCAAGCTTTTCACTATGGTATTGCAACTTGGTTTCTCTCTCTTGCTGGTCCACAAATAAAAGCACGTGGCTAGTATCTGGGACATACCCAATCTCCTTAATTCTAGCACTGATTTCCTCCCACATCTTACGGATATCCTCTCTCTGAGGGTGGGCATCATCATTTGCCACAAACAAGTGGACCACATTCTCGATCTCCACCCAACTACAAGCAGGTTCCTTCTTCACCCCGCTCTCTCTCATCATCTTTCTCACTTTTGCAGCGTCACTCCATCTACCAGCAGAAGCATAAATATTAGAGAGCAATACATGGGGTCCGGAATCATAGGGATCAAGTTCAAATACACGTTCAGCAGCATATGCACCCAACTCCATATTCTTATGCATTCTACAAGCCCCAAGCAGAGCTCCCCAGACGGCTGCAGTGGGTTCAATTGGCATTTCTTTTATGAATCTTTCAGCCAAATCAAGACGACCTGCTCGACCAAGTAGATCTACAATTGTTACATAATGTGAAACATCCGGTTCCACCAGATATTTTTTCATCAACTCAAAATAGTATTGTCCTTTGTCCAAAAGGCCAGCATGGCTGCAAGCAGTTAGAACACAGAGAAAGGCTATACCATTAGGTTCAACACCAATCCTAAGCATTTCCTCAAAGCGCTCCACCGTTTCCTTCCCAAGCCCATGTTGAGCACAAGCAGAAAGCATCGAATTCCAGGAAACTACATCTCGCCTTATCAGTCTATCGAAAACTTTTTTGGCATCCTCAATGCTACCAGATTTAGCATACATGTCAAGAAGAGTGTTCCCAACAAAAGCAATAAGCTTTAACCCCGACTTTATCATATGGCCATGCACCCATTTCCCCTGCTCTAAAGCTCCAGTACTAGCACAGCCAGTGAAAACACTGGAATAAGTAAAATGGGTCGGTTTAAAATCTTTCCTTTGCATCTCCATAAACAGCTGAACCGCATTCTCTCCCTCATCCTTCCTAGCATACCCAGCAATCAAAGCATTCCAAGAGACCTCATTCTTGCTTATCATCCCATCAAAAACAAACATTGCTTCATTCATATACCCACACCTAGCATACATATCCACAAGCGCACTCCCCACATAAACATTCAAATCATAACCATACTTCAAACAAAACCCATGAATTTGCCTACCTTCTCTATCACTAGGCCTAGCCGCTGAAGCTTTGAGAAGACTAGAAAAGGTAAAGTGATTAGGCTTTAAATCAAGACGCAACATTGGAGGAAACAAAACTAGCGCTTCTTCAGGTCTGTCATTCTGAGAATATCCAGTAATCAATGCGGTCCAAGTAACCATGTCTTTAGTGGGCATTTCATCGAACACTCTACGAGCCTCTTCAAGACTACCGCACTTGGCATACATATTGAGAACTGTATTCTGTATAACTTGGTAGTGTTTGAATTGGGAATTGAGAAAGTGGGTGTGGACCATTCTTCCTTCTTTGAGCTTACTCATCTGGGTGCACTTGTTGAGCAATTTGTTGTAAAGGGCCGCGTCTGGTTCCATTCGATCGTTGTCGATTAGGTCCAGTAAATGAAGTTTTCCATTCTGGGTTTTACGAAGAAAGTCCTTTTCTTGAATGACGCCACAAGATGTGTTGAACCCTTCTTCGTCTTCTTCTTCTTGTTCGCTTTCCGAGTTGGTCAATGTGGCTGAAGTTGCAAATGTGGTGAAAAAATGGGGGGAGACGAAAATTGCCATGAGTGACCTTGTTGAGGAGAGAATTGCATTGGAGATCACGGGTGGATGGGTACAGACTCGAGAATATATACCTTTTCTCATGTATGCAGATTTTGAGCAGGGGAACCCGGACGATGTGCCACTGATCTATGTGCGGGCGCAAGAAATTGAAATTATTAGCTTGAGGACACATAACGAAATTGAAGTTAGGATTAATCGAAGCTGTGGTCCTCAAAATTTGCGCTTGGTCCTTAAAATTTGTGCTTGCTTTATTTTGGATCCTAATATTATAATTATATCACATTAATTCCTAATATATTAAATTTATTTTTAAGTGGTTCTTATGTATAATATCGTCTAAATTTTTAATGATTTTTGCTCACTTACTTCAGACATGTTCTCAAATGAAAGGTATTTTGGAAAAATCATCGTCTACTTGACCCAAAAAAAAAAAAAAATACTCTCCCCTTCATTTTAGTTCCCCAAAATTTATGAGGGATGTTTAGACCCAAAAAATTTATCAAGTTTTTAACTTAAAATGTCTGAGTTTACGTCTATGTCTCCACTAGACTAACCTTGAGTTATGCAAACTTCATTTATGTACTCGAACACTTTCCCGTTTTATTTTTAAAAAGAGCCTTGTAACTCGGACATAATTTTAAAATTAAAATGCAGTGTTAATTTTGATATTGATAAATACTATTTATATTAATTTGGAAACTTAATTTTAAAAACCAATGTATTATTTTCATTGAATTGTTAATGATTTCCCTATGATGGGTTCTTACTAACTCAACTATAGTAGCACAATAGGTTTGATGTCACTATTTTTTCACTCATGGTTGTTAACTCACAATGTTTTGTATGCCACATCATCAATTCTATCACTGTGCACATAAGTTCCAAATTTTCTTCTATTCTCGAAAAGGCTCTCCTAAAGCTTAATCTGGTTCTTTAATCTGTCATTGATTTCACCATGATCAATTGTTCTCCATTTTCTTTTGTGGGTTGGCTGGTGTACGCTTTGTCTTTGTGTGTTTTTGTTGTTAGGGGGTGGTGGGGAGTAAACGTTGGGCGTAACGGTGATCACGTCGTTCGGAATGCGTCGAGGTTAATGTTGATTCTAGAATTAATCTTATTTTACATTTTGAAAGATACTATAATTTTTAATTTATACCCTTAAATGTTAAATATTTAAATTTTCACCCCAATATTATTACTTGGTAGCAATGTGGACTTCGTCAAGATTGTCGTTCAATTTTTTGTCATAAATTGAAGTATATGAGTTACGAGTATTTCTAGCATGAGGATGAGGTGTGTCTATCGCTGCAGATCTTTCATCTGCGATCAATTTGACATCATTTTATGTATTGAAAATAAAGTTTCTTTAATCAAATAGTGGTTAGGTCTATCATGCGTAACTCACATGAGACGCCAATAGCCTGTAAATTTATGAGTCATTTGGAAGTTGGTGCACTAAATTAAACATAATTGTAAAAAAAATACACAGAACAAAATATTTTGAAAAAAATTATACAGTTAAAATACAAAAACGTAAATGTCCATTCTATATAATTTTTTTTCTTAACAACTATAATAATGCATTTATTTTTAAGTGCTGAAATTTAGTGTTATTTAATTCGAAATCTCTAATGCACTTTAATTCATGTGTATTTTTTTTTTGAAAAGTAGTTTTGTTTTTAAATTATATTTATGCATTAAATATCTTCTAGTTTTATGAGAGTACTTTAATATTTCGTTTATTTTAAAATATATCACTTTGTTTGAATTTCAAAATTTGTTAATATCCGAACTCTATAATAGTATAACAAAAACAGTGTAACAATACAATGTAACAAAAACAGTGTTTAGTGGGTTTGTGCATGTGGTAACAAATTTAAATCAGAGATGAACTGTTTTGAATGAAATTATATGAAAATAAATGTTTAACAAAATATAATAGTACAATACTTTGTGTCAATGTATTGTTATACTGTTATTGTTACACTGTTATTATTAAACTATTATGAAGTTCGGATATTAATATAATTTGAAAACAAAATCACTTTCAAAAAAAATACCCATGAATCAAGGGAGGACATAAAAATACGAAAAATTAAAGTTTTCCTATAAAATTAGGAGATATATTTAATGCACTACTTTCCAAAAAAAAATACGCATGGATTAAAGGAGGATATAAATGTCAGAAGAAAATATGAAAATTTCAAATAACGTACTTGGAAACAAATAAGTATCAAAATTAATAACTTTTTTACCCTATATTTTTTTTCTGTGTATTTTTTTTATAATTAACTCTAATTTGATGTACCTCCTTTCAATTTTTCCTAAAATATAAGCCCATAGCCGAAACATTTGCAATTCACGTGCTTTAATTTATGACAAAAAACTTAAAAGTATTCTGGATAAGACTCACATAATTACCAATTCATAACATTAAAGGCTTGTTTGTTATAAGGGTTTGGGATCATAGGTTGGGGAGTAAATCCTTTGGAACCCATGTTTGGTACATACATATTTACTCTTGGGTTTGAAACCCAACCCGTTAAGGCCCGTGATTGAATCCCAAATTTGTGGGTTTGAGGAAAGCTGGGGGAGGGGTGAGTTTCAAATTTGGATTCATGGGTTTAAGGTATCAAATGACATTTATACCCCAGATGGGTTTCAAATTTGGGTTCATGAATTTAAGGTATCAAATGACATTTATCATTGTAACCAATATAATGATGTTTAATATGGTTTAACGAGAATATGTTCGACCGTTTTCATGTATTTGTGAATGGACAAATTTTATATGTATCCCCATATAAGTTAATGTTAGAAAATTACACTTTTTTGTTGGGTTAGTGCTTTTTTGCCCTTTATTATGGTTATGAATAAAAGTTATATTTTATCAATATTCTTGATTTTTTTCATAAGTTAGGAAAAAAAAATTTAATCATATATTTAACCCATCAGGACACAAGTAAATGTACGTAAACAAACATGAATTTGAATTAAATTGGTTAAAGAGCAAAAAAGTCAAATATATACAAATATATTATCATAATAGTAATATACCCTGTGCATACCAAATATAGGTATGGATAATATTAACCCCCTCAAATCCATCTTTGAATCTCATCTTTGGTCAAACCCGGGTTTGGACAATTCAATCCAAACCCTTCCCAAAAAACATACCAAAGAGGCCCTAAGGGTGCAAATTGAGAATTGAGGTAGTGCAAAGTGACATTAGCCCTCGATTCTATGGACTAAATTCATAATACTTGGCACTAAATTCAGACCAACCAAACCTTAAGGAACTTCAGTCCGTAACTCAAGGCACACCATTCAATCTCAACCAATGTTCTGAAAATCCTCGTGCCAAAATACCTTTATTTCCACTTCTGAGATGAACCATACCAACCTTGAGTTTTCTCCTTTTCACGACACTCCTCATTGGAATAAAACCAAACAGTGTAAAGATGAAAACTTTGCTGAAGAAGATCTCAATCAGGGTCATTGTTATGTTGCTAATGGCTCACATGTTAATATGCATGGCCTCAGCAGAAGAGACCGAAAGCCTCGAGGTTCTTATGCAAAGTACCTCACGAAAACCCGAGTTGACGTCAGATTACAAGGTTGGGAAGCCTCTTATTTTTTACAGGACTAAGGGTTTGCAGCATGATCCAGTGTCCTCCAATACACCACCTCCACAGTCACCTTGATGGATACATTTTCAGCAACCCGGTTTTTGGATACGATGAAGATGTGGATTTGAATTCAGAGTTTGGTGATCTGAAGAAGAATTTTACTAATAACAATGTGGTTTTTATGGCTATATGAATGAAAATTATGAGTTGAAATTTGGCTTTTCCTATTTGTACTTGTGAATTCTTTTGAAATTGTGACAAATTTGCAATCAAAGGTGTATGACAGTGTATTACTTTGAACAAAGATCAGAGAAATATTTGTCTCGAATCGAATGTGGATGATGGATATCATGCTCGGATATTCTTTTTTGTTTTAAATAACTAGAAGGTATATATTCCGATCTTTTAGAGTAAGAACTAATCCTCCCGAATACATGCAAATCTCCTTCCATGTGTACCTAACAATTATAGGGACAAATATATAAGGTGGTCCCAAGAGGAGACCTGGTTATGTTTGGATAGCAGGTGGATAACTATGGTAGTATAAGATAAAAAAACATATAGCACCCATATATCCCACGTTTGGTAAATAAAAAATGCATAAGAAATCCTATGGGTTAATCGAAACTCAAGGGAGCTGAGCCTGTTATACTTATTTGCTAATCATGATATATAATACAATATACGGATATGCCCACCTCTAGGTCAGGAGATCTCCTCGATTATTTTTTTTAAAACATTTTATGTTGTTAATTTGAATGATTGATGAAATGTATTTTTTATGATTACAATATATTTATAAATATTTATTTTATATTTGAATGAGCTGTTAAAAAAATGATGTAAAAATATATATTTTTGTTTGGAATGGATTGTAAGCTAATTTATTATAAAAAAAAGAAGCTAATTTATAAACCAAATATGGTGGTGAATTAGATAAAATAAGAGTATGTATAATATTTAACGAAAGCAAATTACATCATTTTTATCTATAGACCCTACAAAAATGTATAATCTATCCAAATAAAGGAAATGACTGATATACCTATTTACATCCTAGATGACAGCCGAGTGAGTTTAGATTGGATAAAAAATGATATATTTTTACATATCCAATCCACTCCAATTCTATCATTCAAACATATCTTGAACTCCTAAGACCTCTAACTTATTATCTCTTAGGTGACTTCCTTTAGGTTGAATGCCATTTCATCATCCTAAATAGACACATTATTGGAATATAACTCTGATACCACTTGTTGTAACACAATGGATAATTAATATACATAATACTTGTTGGAAGATAAGAGTTCAAAGATAGAAAAATAATATAAACATGACACAAAGATAAACGTGGATACAATATACCCACTTTGGTATACTAATATATCATACTTACATCCATGAACCAAGAATCTACATTGATATATTATTCATTAAAAACTGATTATCTAGTAATTGATTACATAATATTTAACCTTATTTATAGGGATAAAATCCTGTAACTCAAACCTATTCAGATACAACTTGATCTTTATATCACATGTTTAATATACATATTCATGATATATTAAAACTCTTCCATATAATTCTATTCCATATAAAATTCTCATATTAATTACTCAATATATTCTCATTCATGACAATAAGAGAGTTTGAGTTAAATTCTAACAATTATGGTGTTTGAAAACTCAAAAGCTTCATCATCTTGTACTGAGCCATTCTTTTAGTGTCATTCATCAATGTTGGTAGAAATTGACCATAACACAAGTCAATGCCAGTAGATATATATATTAAAATGCTCTGTCATCTCAACTTTGTCTAAAGGCATAGATCTTTCATGCTCTTAAAACTATGCAGTTCCACATTCATTGACGAGGAACATTCACTTAGGGGAAAACAGATTATTTGGATCTAAAAATTTGATCTAATTTATTGATATAATGATGTGGCTTAATAAGAATCATTAGATCAATATCAAGTTCTAATGTTTGATGGCCTATAGTCAATTCAAAAGTTACAGTGCATTAGATCAACAAATTAGATCAAATTTTTAAGTCCCAATAAGATTGCTCAAGCACAAAATTAGGTGGAACAGAAACAGATATGTAGGAAGTGTAGGTCTAAGACATCACAAATTGACCAAAGTGCAAAGGACTTTTATATACACAGGGGTGTCAATTTGTGTCATCAACTCGAATACAATACGAATTCCACATGACACAATTGTAAAATTGACATGATTGATAAAGATACATAATAAGTGGGTTGAATTAATGTTTGACACTTATAACACATTAAATTAATTTTTTTTCCGTGAGTATTGATGCGAATACGATATGAATTACAATGATACGATACTTGCATGACACAACATGATATGAATTGACACCGTTATGTATATATTCGTACACACACATATACATATTTGCTCGTCTAGTAATCTTTCAAAGTTTTGACTTAAGACCCTGTGCTGAGGCGTTCTTTTGGTGCCATTCTTTGATATCAATAGATATATGGGAAGATTTCCTGTGATCACATCTTTATCAAAGGCNACTTAAGACCCTGTGCTGAGGCGTTCTTTTGGTGCCATTCATTGATATCAATAGATATATGGGAAGATTTCCTGTGATCACATCTTTATCAAAGGCGTAGAAATTTCAGGTCATTTTTCCTATCTCTTTCAATCCTATTTTAGGATTGACATTGGAGTAGGTGAGCTTTGCATGGAAAAGAGTTCATCATTTGCATGCATGAACCAAGTAACAGCAAGGAAGGAGTTGGCTTTGACAATATTTTTGGCCGTTTTCTTGTCGTCTAGATTCTTGACATATTTATATTTTCATTATGCTCTACGGTATTTCTCTTTTCTTTCACTAATTACAAAAACCCAAGCTAAAAGAGTATCAACTAGTATGATGGTATAGAACTTTTGAAATTACCCTCTATTTATATAGCAAAAAGAACCCTTAAGAATAAAGTAGTGTTGATTGTCAATGCTTTATCCCATCAATTTTATCAGGCCTTTCTTTTCGCCCCCCAAAAAAAATAAAATTTGATGGTGCTTAGAAATGCTTAGCCTAAGTCCAGAACGATGATTTGATGGTCCAGAGGGGGTAGTGCAAATATACGAATTAACAGTGAATTAAGTTGTGAGAATGAATTAGAAATAATATATAAGTGGTTTACCTTACCCGAGAGAGTAAGACTATGTCCACTGTAATGAAGTCTCTTGTTCTTGGGGGTGCGTATATTTCTTGAGGAAGAAGATTACAATGGGATGTTGGATTTAAAGCCTGTTTATATAATGTTTTATGAATACAAGTATATCAATGAAGAAGTTGNTATAGGTATGGATAATATTAACCCCCTCAAATCCATCTTTGAATCTCATCTTTGGTCAAACCCGGGTTTGGACAATTCAATCCAAACCCTTCCCAAAAAACATACCAAAGAGGCCCTAAGGGTGCAAATTGAGAATTGAGGTAGTGCAAAGTGACATTAGCCCTCGATTCTATGGACTAAATTCATAATACTTGGCACTAAATTCAGACCAACCAAACCTTAAGGAACTTCAGTCCGTAACTCAAGGCACACCATTCAATCTCAACCAATGTTCTGAAAATCCTCGTGCCAAAATACCTTTATTTCCACTTCTGAGATGAACCATACCAACCTTGAGTTTTCTCCTTTTCACGACACTCCTCATTGGAATAAAACCAAACAGTGTAAAGATGAAAACTTTGCTGAAGAAGATCTCAATCAGGGTCATTGTTATGTTGCTAATGGCTCACATGTTAATATGCATGGCCTCAGCAGAAGAGACCGAAAGCCTCGAGGTTCTTATGCAAAGTACCTCACGAAAACCCGAGTTGACGTCAGATTACAAGGTTGGGAAGCCTCTTATTTTTTACAGGACTAAGGGTTTGCAGCATGATCCAGTGTCCTCCAATACACCACCTCCACAGTCACCTTGATGGATACATTTTCAGCAACCCGGTTTTTGGATACGATGAAGATGTGGATTTGAATTCAGAGTTTGGTGATCTGAAGAAGAATTTAACTAACAACAATGTGGTTTTTATGGCTATATGAATGAAAATTATGAGTTGAAATTTGGCTTTTCCTATTTGTACTTGTGAATTCTTTTGAAATTGTGACAAATTTGCAATCAAAGGTGTATGACAGTGTATTACTTTGAACAAAGATCAGAGAAATATTTGTCTCGAATCGAATGTGGATGATGGATATCATGCTCGGATATTCTTTTTTGTTTTAAATAACTAGAAGGTATATATTCCGATCTTTTAGAGTAAGAACTAATCCTCCCGAATACATGCAANAACTAGAAGGTATATATTCCGATCTTTTAGAGTAAGAACTAATCCTCCCGAATACATGCAAATCTCCTTCCATGTGTACCTAACAATTATAGGGACAAATATATAAGGTAGTCCCAAGAGGAGACCTGGTTATGTTTGGATAGCAGGTGGATAACTATGGTAGTATAAGATAAAAAAACATATAGCACCCATATATCCCACGTTTGGTAAATAAAAAATGCATAAGAAATCCTATGGGTTAATCGAAACTCAAGGGAGCTGAGCCTGTTATACTTATTTGCTAATCATGATATATAATACAATATACGGATATGCCCACCTCTAGGTCAGGAGATCTCCTCNCTGAGCCTGTTATACTTATTTGCTAATCATGATATATAATACAATATACGGATATGCCCACCTCTAGGTCAGGAGATCTCCTCGATTATTTTTTTTAAAACATTTTATGTTGTTAATTTGAATGATTGATGAAATGTATTTTTTATGATTACAATATATTTATAAATATTTATTTTATATTTGAATGAGCTGTTAAAAAAATGATGTAAAAATATATATTTTTGTTTGGAATGGATTGTAAGCTAATTTATTATAAAAAAAAGAAACTAATTTATAAACCAAATATGGTGGTGAATTAGATAAAATAAGAGTATGTATAATATTTAACGAAAGCAAATTACATCATTTTTATCTATAGACCCTACAAAAATGTATAATCTATCCAAATAGAGGAAATGACTGATATACCTATTTACATCCTAGATGACAGCCGAGTGAGTTTAGATTGGATAAAAAATGATATATTTTTACATATCCAATCCACTCCAATTCTATCATTCAAACATATCTTGAACTCCTAAGACCTCTAACTTATTATCTCTTAGGTGACTTCCTTTAGGTTGAATGCCATTTCATCATCCTAAATAGACACATTATTGGAATATAACTCTGATACCACTTGTTGTAACACAATGGATAATTAATATACATAATACTTGTTGGAAGATAAGAGTTCAAAGATAGAAAAATAATATAAACATGACACAAAGATAAACGTGGATACAATATACCCACTTTGGTATACTAATATATCATACTTACATCCATGAACCAAGAATCTACATTGATATATTATTCATTAAAAACTGATTATCTAGTAATTGATTACATAATATTTAACCTTATTTATAGGGATAAAATCCTGTAACTCAAACCTATTCAGATACAACTTGATCTTTATATCACATGTTTAATATACATATTCATGATATATTAAAACTCTTCCATATAATTCTATTCCATATAAAATTCTCATATTAATTACTCAATATATTCTCATTCATGACAATAAGAGAGTTTGAGTTAAATTCTAACAATTATGGTGTTTGAAAACTCAAAAGCTTCATCATCTTGTACTGAGCCATTCTTTTAGTGTCATTCATCAATGTTGGTAGAAATTGACCATAACACAAGTCAATGCCAGTAGATATATATATTAAAATGCTCTGTCATCTCAACTTTGTCTAAAGGCATAGATCTTTCATGCTCTTAAAACTATGCAGTTCCACATTCATTGACGAGGAACATTCACTTAGGGGAAAGCAGATTATTTGGATCTAAAAATTTGATCTAATTTATTGGCATAATGATGTGACTTAATAAGAATCATTAGATCAATATCAAGTTCTAATGTTTGATGGCCTATAGTCAATTCAAAAGTTACAGTGCATTAGATCAACAAATTAGATCAAATTTTTAAGTCCCAATAAGATTGCTCAAGCACAAAATTAGGTGGAACAGAAACAGATATGCAGGAAGTGTAGGTCTAAGACATCACAAATTGACCAAAGTGCAAAGGACTTTTATATACACAGGGGTGTCAATTTGTGTCATCAACTCGAATACAATACGAATTCCACATGACACAATTGTAAAATTGACATGATTGATAAAGATACATAATAAGTGGGTTGAATTAATGTTTGACACTTATAACACATTAAATTAATTTTTTTTCCGTGAGTATTGATGCGAATACGATATGAATTACAATGATACGATACTTGCATGACACAACATGATATGAATTGACACCGTTATGTATATATTCGTACACACACATATACATATTTGCTCGTCTAGTAATCTTTCAAAGTTTTGACTTAAGACCCTGTGCTGAGGCGTTCTTTTGGTGCCATTCATTGATATCAATAGATATATGGGAAGATTTCCTGTGATCACATCTTTATCAAAGGCGTAGAAATTTCAGGTCATTTTTCCTATCTCTTTCAATCCTATTTTAGGATTGACATTGGAGTAGGTGAGCTTTGCATGGAAAAGAGTTCATCATTTGCATGCATGAACCAAGTAACAGCAAGGAAGGAGTTGGCTTTGACAATATTTTTGGCCGTTTTCTTGTCGTCTAGATTCTTGACATATTTATATTTTCATTATGCTCTACGGTATTTCTCTTTTCTTTCACTAATTACAAAAACCCAAGCTAAAAGAGTATCAACTAGTATGATGGTATAGAACTTTTGAAATTACCCTCTATTTATGTAGCAAAAAGAACCCTTAAGAATAAAGTAGTGTTGATTGTCAATGCTTTATCCCATCAATTTTATCAGGCCTTTCTTTTCGCCCCCCAAAAAAAATAAAATTTGATGGTGCTTAGAAATGCTTAGCCTAAGTCCAGAACGATGATTTGATGGTCCAGAGGGGGTAGTGCAAATATACGAATTAACAGTGAATTAAGTTGTGAGAATGAATTAGAAATAATATATAAGTGGTTTACCTTACCCGAGAGAGTAAGACTATGTCCACTGTAATGAAGTCTCTTGTTCTTGGGGGTGCGTATATTTCTTGAGGAAGAAGATTACAATGGGATGTTGGATTTAAAGCCTGTTTATATAATGTTTTATGAATACAAGTATATCAATGAAGAAGTTGACAGTCCTCTTTTATAGTGTGATAGTGTTTTATTTATACAGGCAATCTTTCTAGGGTTTTTTGTGATTGATTCTGTGGTCTCCTATTCCTTTGTCATTTAGTGACCTTAGTCATGTGATTCTTGAGTGGTTATATGCACAAATATTCTCTTTACCAGATAGTACACGTTTATTTAGAGGCTCCAAAAATTATCCCCTGGACACGTGGCGTGAAGTGGAACATTCGGGTTCAGGTGAGTACCGAACTCCTTGATCCCGAGCTGCTTAACGTTGAGCTTGTTATGACCGACTAGGGTTGTGCCGAGCTGGACTCTCTGCCGGGCTCCCTCTTTTGGATTATGACTCATTCCNAGTACCGAACTCCTTGATCCCGAGCTGCTTAACGTTGAGCTTGTTATGACCGACTAGGGTTGTGCCGAGCTGGACTCTCTGCCGGGCTCCCTCCTTTGGATTATGACTCATTCCTTATTATGGAGCAGATGGATTGTTGTGGAGTCTCTTGGGCCGTTGTGCACCTTTTTTGGCCCATTAGATGATTTGGGCTTAGAATGGACAGTCCACTCCAAAATCCTACCTTATTAAAAATGAAAGCCTATTAATCAGGAAATCGCTGTATTATCAATAGTGTTTTACTAATGACATAGGGCTTTTTCAGCTTGATCGGAATCAATTCTATGATTAAATAGTAGAAGTTCTGCATAGTAGTAGAAACCCGGAAAGACAGACAAAGAGGAGACACTGTGGTATGTGTAGTTTTGTTGCTTTTAGTGAAGGCAAAAGGATCCATATTTGCCAACAAACAGTTTCTTTTGGATTCACTTCTTGATCAAAAACTGCAGCATTGTTGGAATATCAGGAGTGACATCCTATCCAATGTACTTGCCCTCAAGTTCAGTCAAAAGTAGGTATGGTTGGGGACCAACTTATAAATTAATTGTGGATGATCTATTATTGAGTGGAATTGAAGAAAAATATAATGGAAAAGGTGTTGATTCGTAATATCATATCATCAAAATCAATTCAACCAAAGTGAAGTGAATAATTTATTGTTGGCTTTTGATATTATTAAGAACCTTAAAAAGGAGACTGATAAAGTTCAACANACCAAAGTGAAGTGAATAATTTATTGTTGGCTTTTGATATTATTAAGAACCTTAAAAAGGAGACTGATAAAGTTCAACAGATGCCTTGAGCACCATTGGTGTTTGATAACAGCCACAGCTAGGGGATGCTTTGATGTTTGAATTACAGCTACACCATTGGTGTTTGAATTTCAAGTCCACATCAATTTTTTTTCCTTATATTCTCTTTGAATTTGAAGACTTGGTCCCACTGTGTGAACCCTCTTGACGTAGCAGATTTCTTCCTCTCCAAACATTATATATGTTTGTGTATCAGAGGTCTCATCCGCTACTTGCACTTCTTGTTCTTTTTTTTTCAGTCAATTTCAACAGCTCTCTCTTTCACCTTACTTTGTCAAGAAACAGACTAGAATTATCCTCTCTATATTGCTCTGCTCTGCTTCACCACAAATCTTCTAAAACCCCAGTTTTTTGCAGCAAAAGCAATGGAAAATGAAGATTTGAAGATGCTAAACAAAAGAAGAGCAAGACTTCCTCCACAGAGAGGTCAGATCAAAGCTATGATATTTGGTGGATTATGGGAAAAAGTGAGAATTGCAGCAGGACTGGGAAGAGAGAGAGAAGGTGGCATTAGAAGATCAGCCTCATCAACTCCTCCTCCAAGCCCCTACACTTCAGATTGTCATTCAGATTCTTGATCCCACATGGCTTGTTAGTTCATGTTAATCTCCTCTGTATGACTTGTTAATTTGTGTTATGCTTTTTAATTATCTTCGCTTTTCCCCTTGTACTAGTTAAGGTGGGGGACATCTATAGATACTTGGTTGTCCTTCCAGAACACAGTTTTTGATTATTAAGTAAATAAATGTTGGAATAGGATAGAAGATGGATTTGGTTGGAGAAAGATGTTTGGTTGATTGGGGAAATTATTAATTCATTGGGGTTGTGGTTGTAAAATTCTATATTTTCCGGGTTTGGCTATTGGGTTCTTGTCTGTTTTTTTGGGTAAATAAAACCAAATTGGCTACTGGGTTCTTATCTGTTTTTCCTTGTACTTTATTCAAATATATCACATGGAGGTTCTTGAAAGAGAAGAATCTACAGTACTAGATGGTGGTGCTGTTCCATATTCAAAATGTCTCTACAAGAAAAAGGGCTTTTTGCAACAAATGCTTTGCAATGGCAAGAGAGACAAAGAGATTGCTACATGTTTTATCTTGGTATATGGAAGAAGCTAATAGATTGTTCAATTATGAATTTTTTCATGTAGGAGATCAAGAGCTCTGTTGTCCTCTTTTCGTAATTAAATTTGGGTGAAAAGATGAAAGTTAAGAGCTCACCTTTGATTTGTATGTTTGTGTGCAGTATGTACACATGATTATATATTTTTTGTTTTTGGTGTTAAACAAGCTGTAACAATCCCTTTCCTTTTTTTCCCCAAAACAGTAAACACCATATATGGAACTTAGGTTTCTTTTTCTTTGTTCTGTTCGTTGAATAAATGCGACATCAAGACNCAAAACAGTAAACACCATATATGGAACTTAGGTTTCTTTTTCTTTGTTCTGTTCGTTGAATAAATGCGACATCAAGACCAAAATTAACCTGCCTTCTTTGTTGATTAGACATCGTGATGGGACATTTCAAAGAATTAAGAAGGAGTCAACACGCGCTCTTGGCGTCCATCCCCTTGGAGCACTAATATTGAGACATGTGTCCTTGACACAAATGATTCCTCGGACCCATCTGCGATGGACACGTGTCTTTGACACTAAAGTTCCCTCGATATNTTGAGACATGTGTCCTTGACACAAATGATTCCTCGGACCCATCTGCGATGGACACGTGTCTTTGACACTAAAGTTCCCTCGATATTATTTGCGAGTGACACGTGTCCTCGACATACGTCACCTCGAGGTTTTTAGATTGCGACATGTGTCCTCGTCACGACTAACTCCTTTGAAGCCTATTTTCAGACACGTCATCTCGACTCAAGAACCCTAAGATAGGGATGACAGAATGACGGCCATCGTTACTTGAATTTAGAATTAATCAATAATCATTGGCTTGCCTTTATAAAGAAGTCAAAAAGGACAAATTCAATGACCAAAGATAATAAAACACGAGGCACATAGAACAAAATTAAGGGCCAATGGACAAAGATGCCCCTACTCATGCACAACCATCACAAGAAAGTATTTAATGATCCCTTAGAAGAATGTGATGTGTTTATTGTTAAGAGATTTTCAAAGGAAGAGCATTAAGTGTATGAGAACCCAAATATTTAATGCTTATAGTTCTCCCACGCAAAATAGAAGACGCCCTGCTCAAGGATTGAGCACTATCGCTTGCCGCCAGCCAAATGGGCCAATGGGGGACTTTTTCCTCAAGGGATTTACTTGTCCGCAGTGATTACCTCGATAAAAATATAAATAACTCTCATAAACTGAAAACAAAGGTACGCAAATCTCACCAAAAGTTATCGAACAGTGTTCTTCCTCCACTCTCTCACGAGTGTTCTTCGTCCCCACTCTCACGTACTGACTTGACCGTTAAAGGGTCATGCCAGAAAACACTCCAACGCTCTTCTAACTGTCTTTTTTGAGTGGAAGAATCCATTTTGACACGCTGGAATCTCGCGGATTGTTGAAAAAGTAATTTATCATCACTCTTTATGATCTTTCTCACTTCCGTTTGCCTCGAGATCATCGATTTTTAGGTAAATCTTGTGTTCATCGAAAGGAAGATCTGTCCATTTCTTTTATTGTGCAAAAATCACTGTGCACACATCGGTTCGATGGAATTTTATTGTGGGAATGGTATAAGTAATAAGGAGAGAGAGAGAGAGATATGACTATTAGCTGAGAGGTGTTTTTGTCACTAAACAATTGGTCAGAATCGTCAAAAGACAAATTCCATTGTTCTTCACATGTTTCATGCACACCATTATTCAAGAATATAAGTGATAGTTTAATTTTCTCCTCTATCAATCAAGAAAACCAATAAAAGTGGGATTCTATTAAAAAGTTAGCAATTAATTATTATGGAAGAATCAGGTTCTTTACTAAACTTCCCTTGGTTTCTATCTCAACTTTATTGGTACAACCATCCAATGAATCTCGAAGGTTTTGTGCACAACAGCTCACATTCCTACTAATTAATAGCATAAAGTCCCACAAGATAGTTATCAAAGTCTTAATCCAAGGCTTCATGGTAGGCATCAACTTATTTATTATAATTTGTTTCCTTCATCACTCAATCACTTCGCAGTGATAAGTAACAGCATGGACTCCTATAGTCGAAAAAAGTCGAGACTCAAATCCTAGAGCGTGGCGCCCACATCACAATTAAATAAACTTACCCTTACACCAAAACTTTCCTAAACCTATCTTAGTGCAAGCATGTGCCAGCTAAATGGATTGATTATGTCTAGTTGCTTCAAAACCCTCATACCAGTTTCGCAGCAGATTGTTTACAAGAAAAAAAATTCCGAAGGGTTGTGTTTTCAAGGTACTTGAGCTTCAAAATCATGTCTTTTTTTATTCATCACGCCTTTGTAATTGGTTATTACTTTTCAAGGTTTGGAGAGTACGTTCTGCATTTCCCCTTTAGCAACAATTATACACTTATTAGAGGTAAACCCAACATCTATTGATTTTTTTTTTCTTCATATTTTTACTTCTCTCAGCTCCACCCACCCTGCTCCACCGAGGGAAGATGGGGGATGGGGGTGGCAAGGTTCTTGGGAGACGTAAAACATTGCGATTCACCAAGTTCATGGGGCCAAGTCAATCCCCACAAAAAATATTCATTAATGAAAATATGTTTGTTGTTGTGATGTTTCTTTATTGAACATCAAGTTTTTTCAGTTTTGACTTTGAGTCCCTTCACTCAATTTATTCTTGCTTGTCCCTCATTTTAAATGCCGATTAAAGTACATGTTAGCCTTTCTTTCCTGTCAACTTATATTTGTCAAAAGGCTTGAAATTGTCAGATCAGTTTTTCCAACCCTTTCAAACCTTGTGGGGATTAAAAAGTAGAGAGGCCAGGCAAGCTTTTGCTGGGAAATGAATCAAGAAATCACAAGGAAGATGGTGAGAGTTAACTAATTTTGGCTGTTTATTTCACTAAAACATGGTAAATTTACCATATCTTTTAGAGAAATGACATTATTAATATTACATACAATGGCTTAGAAACTTCCAAATATCCTTTTTCTATGCCTTAATCTACTCTTTTTCTGTATCGTCAGCCCTTTTTTCTCCTCCTCTCAGTCATAAAATTTTGTATCCATGACCATTGATAATCGGATAAAATTATTTTATTTTTTTTATGAAATTAAAATGTTGTATTTTAATTTCATTCATTGAGTACCCTCAATACAACCAAAGTAAGTGAATTCTGGTTGGCTTTTGACTAAACTTTTGTTGCCATTATCTCTAGGAATTCAGGAAAGATGGGACTCATGCAAAGTCCAAACAAATTCCTTGAACTTATCGACGTTTAAGGTCATAATTCAGAAAAACAACTTACATTAAATAAGAGGAGGACAGCTATAGCAGAGATTTTTTTTTATTAACTTAAAGGCTAACCCACATAAAAAATATGGATTAGTTTACTTGGAAATTGATGTGTTCACATTGTGTGAATCCTTCTGACTAATCAGGCTTATTCTCGGAGTATTATATATGTGTTCCCCCACAGGTTTCTTCCTCCACTTGCCCTTCATGACTTGTTTTGGTGATATTTCAAAGCTCTGCTTCAACTTTGGTACAGTAAAGAAGTCTTCTACTGTGTTTTCTTTCTCAGATCGTTCCTCCAAACTTTGCTTGGAAAAAATGGAAAATGAAGATACCAAGAAGCTAAAGAAAGGGAAAGCAAGACTTCCTCCAAAGAGAGGTCAGATCAAAGCTAAGATATTCCGCGACACGGTGAAAATATTGATGAATGCCTTAAGAATGGGAAGAAAGAGAGAAGTTGGCCGCAAATGACAACCCTTTCAAGCTCCTACACTTCAGATGAACACCCTGATTTTCGATCCACATAACAATTCATACTGTAATTTTCTTTATATGATTTCATTTAAAGGTTTCTCAGTTTTCGTTGTCTCTGTTTCACATCCCCTTATATTAATCCAGAGGGGAAATCAACAGATTCTTGGTTGATTAATATATGGGTAAAGAGCTACATAGAATCATTGTGAGGATACGACAGAAAATGGAATAGGCTTGATCAATTTCACCTTATTATAGGAAGGTTTAAAATTCATTTAGCATATGGTGATTATGTTTTTTCCAGGATTGGTCACTTGGCAATCGGCTGTTTTTCGTGTAAGATACATATGCTTTTAGTTTCATAAGATTATATTTGTTCTTTCCTTCAAATTTGAAGGTGATTTGGGGGAAAGATGAAACTATGTTTTGTTCATAGCTGCTACATGATTAAGAGGTTGTATGCTTGTAGTCAAATACNGAAGGTGATTTGGGGGAAAGATGAAACTATGTTTTGTTCATAGCTGCTACATGATTAAGAGAGGTTGTATGCTTGTAGTCAAATAGAGTTGATAAAATTAGTGAAGCTTGTGTTATTTGTGCGTGCTAGATCTTACACAATATAAAAACGAGAACAGATTTCTCCCTTGGTGAACTCGAGTGAATCAGTTGAGTGGTCAACCACGCTGCCTGGAACAGTCTGTGAGATCCGGTGGTAACCTGGAACGACAATGGGAGATCCTCGCGGATCAAAGGAACGATCCAGTAAGGCTGAAGAAAGGTTCCTGGAGCAAAGAAGAACAAGTTAGAAGGGCGCCGGAGTGTTTTTCGGCGTATCCCTTCCGACGATCAAGTCAGTTTTTGAGAGAAAGGAAGAAGAAAACATTGAGTACAATTTGTAGCAAAAGTTTTTCCCTCTTTTCCTTGCCTTTAGTGAGGAGTATTTATACCTTAAATACTCATGATTGTTGTCAGTGTGGTCAGTAGGCGATCATTAGATACAGGAAACGTGCGCACTGATTCCTATGAGGAATGCCTTCTCTTTTAACTGCTCGGGACCCCGAGCAATCAAGACTGTGTCATCGGCCTGCCGACGGTTCAATGAGCTCCTCTCGGGGAGGATGCAATAAATGCCCAGCCTTAGAGACATTTATTGCCTTTCACTTCCGAGCCTTACCGCATTGAATGCAGTCTCATCAAGGGAATAGTGTAATTAAATGCTTGTTTTCCCAAGTCGCGTGTCAGCAAGGTCATGCAGTCTTTCTGTCTCTGATGTGACACAATATGCCACGCGTCCATTCCTCATTGGCTGTGCCCCCTGCCTTCCTGTGCCTTCTGACACCAATTGTGTAAGACGAGGTCATGATAGTTAACCTAGCCTAGCCTAAGCTAGTGACCAGTGCATCAATAGCCTCTGCTGGAGCAGAGAACTTCATCCTGGATGAGGGGGGTACATCTCGGTACCAAGGAAGAGGTATATCTCAGAGCCGAGGAAGAGGTACATCTCAGAGTCCAGGAATAGGTATATCTCGGAGCCGAGGAATAGGTACATCTTGAATCCGAGAGGGGGAGGCCTAGCGACCGATGTACCATATCAGACCGAGGGTACGTGTCGGTACATAAAAACGTACTGGATGCCACTCGATCCCCATGATCAGTACCTCGGGGGAGAGGGGACTTGTGACCCGATGGGTACGTGATCTCGGTAACAAGGATTAATGACACCGAGGACACGTGTCTTCATCTCGGAATATTTTGAAAATGTCCCATCATTATTGTAATAATGTAGTAAGCTATAAAGATATTTGCTGTTTGGTTCTTATTTTTCGCGCTTGAGATGGACAAATCTATCTTGCATCATTTTAATACTAAGTTTGGGTGTTATATACTGCATAGTAGTTGCAAGATGAAGGGGAGAGAGAGAGAGAGATCTTTATACAGGAACTAATTTTCTCATGATTTCTGGTATTGGTATCCTCAGCAGATTGTGAACAAGTTCAGCTTTTCCTTTGCTATCTGCTTGGGATTAGTTTGTTTCAAAAAAAAAAATGTAATTTTCCTTGTCCATTCTTCACAGGGGACTAATGCTGCTGGATTTTGTGTGCAGATGGTACCAATCTGGAGAGAGAGAGACAGAGTAGCTATCTACTAAAGTGACTGTAAGAGAGGCTGCCTGCTCATTTGTCAGTCTTTTCTTCAGATTAAGATATAGCATGTTTCAATCTTTAATGCAACCAATGGCTATTATCTAAGATGATTTGCCAAATTGATCAGAATCATCCAACAATCGCTGAATTCGATTGTTCTTCAACCCTTCGAGGTGGTTCAGTGGTTGAGCCTGACATTTAGTAATTCAGAGGTTTTAGGTTGAATTCTTTTCCACACCCCCTAAGAGCTAGCCACACTTGTTCTTCGGAACATGCTCTATTCTAACTCATGCTACGGTAGCCATCGCTAAATTCAAGGGAATAGTCTGCGCAAGCCTAGACACCTTTTCTGCATAGGGTTTTGCTCACCCAAGTATGGTTTAAAAAGTGTGTTGATAGACATTTCACATTCTCCTCCATCGGCATTAATCCAGAGATATAAGATGAAAAAAATTCCACTGTACAGAAAATTACCAATTATATGATTTTGTATGGAGGGCAGAAACTGATTTTGACTAAACTCATCTGGAATTCTGCCTCAAAACTGTTGAATAAATCATTCGACAATGGCGTTCATATGCCGAAAATTTTTAAATACAGATGTAAGTTTTATAATATAAGGTTTCATGTGTGACATAACTAACATAATTAGTCCATGGTATTATTTTTATTTTCTGCATAACTCAAGCGTTGATCAAGTCATAGATGTTAGCCTGGGTTTTTCTAGTGCTAGCTTGTCCTAGGTAGGTAGATGGAATACATCCTCCTTTCCTCTCTCTCTCTAGGATTTTTTTTTTTTTTTTGTCACAATAAATATAGGGGAGGGAGTTGATAAAATTTAAATCTTTGATGGTTAAAGACCGGAGTTAGGATCGGAATCGAAGACGTTGTCATATTTTTGGATAGTTGCGCACCCGTAGATAAGGAGGGAAAGACACCGATCATTAGGCCAATCCTCTTTTACTCACCAGTGGATCTCAATGCCACCAAAATGACATCTTCCCTATACTTCCTAGAAAATATTAATACTATAATAAAAAGTAGGCTAAATTTCACTTTGGCACTCTCAACTATGATCTAGTCTCACTTTGGCCCTTTAATTATGGATTTCTCACACTGTTCCAGCAATTTCTTGAATTATCTTTACATTGTCACAAAATTTAAAGGTTTGTCATTACTTTGATAGAAAATTTCCACTTTTATGGTAAAATACATGTTTGCATTGTCTAAAATTGAGGTAATGTGAAACCAGCAATCATAATTGGAGGGATGTGAGACTATATGTTACTCTTCTGAAGAGTTTAGGTTCTTAATCTCTCTCTTTGTCTTATGTTTCAGAGTTTTTCCAGTCTTTGGTTGGACTTTCTGCAGTTCCCATTTGTGTACCATGCACATGTTCCTTTATTTATTTAAATTTGCTTAGCCTGCAGATTGTAACAATTTAGACTTTATCACAGCTTCCAAAGTAGAAGCTGGCATTCCCCTAAAGGGTTTGATGTTATCATAAAGTTTCAAAAACTGTGAATATGATTTTTCACATTTTAGTTGCATTAAATATAGTGATATGCCATTCTGGATGTCCCACAGATATTATCAAACAAATATATACAATTGTAAGTCATAAAATAAGCTTTTAGTTCATGTTGGTTCAAATTTGCTTGGATTGACAGAGATCTCCCAGCGATAGACAATTATCAGACAATTGTTTGGAAGGGGTTTATGGTCTTGTTTCAGGACTTCATGGATAAAAAGAATAGAGTAATTCTAAATAGAGATGAAGTAAAAAACAAAGAACTAATGGAAGAGAATTCATTTCTTAATTCAAAAAAGGGACTTCGATTATAAAAAAGATTGAATGAACAACTTTAACTACAATCTAAAAGTGTATAATTTACGCCAACACTACTCCTAATGATGCCCAAATTTGTGGGTCGTAGGGGGTTTGAAAATGTGTCATCTTTTTCCTTACATTTCTCTTTGTAGAGACATTTTTTTCGACGGCTGTTCTTCCATCAATAGTTACTCGGTAGTAACCCCCAACATGTAACCTACCTTGGTTTGAATATGGTTGTAATTAGTCATCTTCTCGTCTTGCTTAGGTTTTTGCCACATGGCACCTTCTTGGCAAGCCTGAGAATGTCAAGTGTCAATGTATTGAATATTCATGAATTTTCATATATTAGACTAAATAGTTGTTTAATCAACAGATATTAATTAACTCATTGCATTGCTTGACCAATCCATAGTAAGTGGCCATGTTGAATTAAAGGATGTCTAACTATCCTTTTTTGCTACCCTTAAGATCATTTATTCAAGTAGTATTTTCTCAAGTAACATTGTTGTGTTTTGCCTTTTCTTGTTGGAGTTAAGTAGTATTTTCTCAAGTAACATTGTTTTGTGTTTTGCCTTTTCGTGTTGGAGTTTCCTCCTTATTCCAAGCTTAATATTGGATAGAATAGTATACATGTGCACATAGATAAGTGTATTATTCATATACTAAGATGTATGTCACTATATACTATAAATCAATAATTAGAAAGTCTCTTGTTTTCTTAACAAATTACTTTTTTGCTTAAACAAATTGACGTAGTTGAACAAAGGAACACAAAAGACATTACAATTCTTTATATATTGAACTAAAAAAAATACTCTAAATCTACAAAAAAAGTAGAGAAAAATTATGAAATATAATATTACAATAATTCACTCGTAGTACAAATGAGCATTATAAATAGAAACGACTAAAATCCTAATCGTTCCTATAGTGGAAAGCAAAATCTCTAAAATTATGAAAAATACCAAAAATGAAAATATGCGATTTTCTAAATTAACATAAAAGCATGTGTTGCCTGAAGTCTAAAAAAATTGATGACCCTGAATTCATAATTTCTTATAATTTATTATTAATTTTTGAAATTTTTTCTAAAATGGCAAAAATGGGAGTTTATATGTCTAGACAATAAAATTTGACTTAAAACTAAAGGAGCTCGTAATAAAACAATGAGTTTTGATTGTTGACTTGATCCGAATGAAGCACCACTAATTTACTGAATTTTGAGTCTAACACCTCTATTATTATTTTTTACCCTTTCATTTTAATCGGAAGAAACCATATACTAAATACTCTCCTGCAACTTGTTTTACATCATAACTCCTTTGAAAAAAGTTATCAAAGGGCGCATGATTTCTTGCAAAATTTTGCTTCTTTCATCTTTCACAGTACTCATACATGACTCAACTCACCTGGTAAGTGGCAGAAATTTTCTGAAGTTCTTCACCCCCACCCCAACCCCAACCCTTACCATGTCGAACCATATGATTATGGACCCTTCACCTTACACAGAAGACAGAAGAGGGGAAAAACAAAAAGAAAAGGTTTGAAAACCCACGTGTAATGAAATGATATCCAAAACCATACACATCCAATTAAGACTAACCACAATTTCGCCGAAGAAAAAGTTCAAAGAACAAGCCAAATTGTATTCAGAAAGAGTATCTTATTGTGTTCACACTTGTGAAACTTGGTGACTAAGCTGGCTTGCACGGCAGTATGCGCACACCCATTTATATAAAAAGGCCCCACTTTGTCTCTCCCACCCTCACCAGCTTTGCTTCTCTTCTTCTTTACTGATTTTATCTGTTCTTTTTTCATCCCTTACTGTACCCTTGATTTTCCTTTCACAATCCAAAGCATTAATGGACAGTAAAGTCAGCAAGCCAGTGAGGAGAGAGAAAGCTATGCTTCCACCAAGGAGAGGTCAGCTGACAGCCAAGGTATTTGAGGAATTGGTAGAGTCAGTGATGAACATGACAACAGGAGGGTTTGGAAAAAAGAACCAAGATAGCCATGGCCAAAGCTCAGATTCTTCAAATCTGCGGGGAAGCGGAAATGGTTCTGATGGAAAGAGTCATGTTCGAAGAGAGTTAGGACAGTTGAAGGAGTTCAAGGTATAGAGAGAGAGAGAGAGAGAGAGAGAGAGTCTTTAACAGGTAACAACATGGAGCTATGGCTAGAAGTACTTTGGGATTCAAGGTCAGAAAAGTGTGTATACATATTTTCTAGTGTGTTGTGTCACTTGCCTGAATATTTTCTGATGGCATTTTAGTATGTTTATAATAAGAAATCCATTTGAATTCTTCTTCCTTTTCTCTTTCATCGTTAAGTAAATCTTCTTTATGTTCCTAAATTATGTCATTCATATCATGCAAAAACATTCTTAGTCGATGAAATATTGAAGAGAAGACTAAATTATGATTAGTGCTCTCAACAGATTAGTGTTAGGTGTCAGATACAAGAAAAACTGATTGAGAGTCTTCACAGAATGTGAAAAACAAGAAATTGTAAGTTGCCATTCTTGAGCTTTTTGTTGTTCATGTATTGGCTTGGCTTGGAGCTTCGGTGACCCCGGTTATGGAGATCACTCAGGTTGGTCTTTCTCCTTCTCTGATCTTTTATTGTTTTACGTAAGTTTTATGGTATTTGGTTTGTGGGTGTTTTGCCTCCTTGTTTTTCATTCTGTTCTTGAATTGGACAACATAGGATTAGCAAAGTGGATTTGTGCTGCTCGACTGAATAATTTGTAATAAGCTATGCAGAAAATACACTCAAGACCTTTTTCCCCATATTCTTCCTGAGAATCATGCGTACCACAGGCCACTTTGAGACACCGAAATAGCATCACAAGGCCTATTTTCATGAGGTCACCATGTCTGACATCCTCACCAATGTCAATATAATTAATTACATACACCAAAGAAAGCTCAACCAATGCTTTACAATATAATCATTCTGATAACAGAGCCTCCCCCTGATCCGATCAAGCAACGGTCTTCTAAGTGAAGATGGTTCAACTTTTCCAGCATCAACCTCATTTTTGGATAGTGTAATCCATCTGGAATCGTGTTTTTGTGATCGCATGGCATAAACAGAGCCTAAAAAACATGTATCAATAAAGAAATATGTTGATATGGAACATGTAAAACGGACAGTTAAATGGTTACAAGAAAACAGAGCATTCCAACACAATTGAGATTGAGTGACTAGAGTAGGAAAGAAAAGAAGTTTGACATCTATTACGATCCAATGATCAAAAAGTTCGATATTTCACTATGTATCCCTTGATAACATAGAAACCATGTTCACAAATGGAATAAAAAGGTCCAATTTGTTAACAACCAAACAAGAATGGATGATAGCAGAATGGGTTGTATGGATGCTGAGGAATAGCAGAAATTTTGAAGGGAAAGTTGAGTATGCAGAGTTGTTATGGGATAGGGTTAAGTTCTTGGAATCTCTATGGGTTGCGTTGATCATTAGAGAGTTTCGAGATATTCCTTTTTCATTATTTCACATCATTGGAAAGTTGTTTGCAATTGGCGGATCTTATTTTGTAATCTTATTTTCACTGTTCACTTTTCTCTTTGTAATCTTTCTTGCACGATCTTTTTCATTGGTTCTCTTTGTAATTTTGGTGTGCCAAGATCTTTGAACTCATTTAACTCGAACTTACTTTGTATCGATGTATATGCCTATGTGGTGAATCTACTTGAGATTCACTTCAAAACAGATTTTGTCATTAGGCGAATGGAATTGATGAATAAATAAATATTTTCTCGAGCATGTGTTAGGTATGCATGTATATGCACAAAGTTTTTTTTTTTTTTTTTCCTTATGCTCTTCAGTGAGATGGTTCTCTGTCAAAATCAAAGTATGGTGATACATGGTATACTCATAAGATTGACATCAATTTTTTGCTTGTAGTTGTTGCTACCCAGCGAGATTTAGTAGTATAGATTTATGTATAAAAGAATCATGGGCACGTGTATAACTCATCTACATCATCAATGTTTGATAGAACTTTTAAAAATGGTTGTAGCACATTTTTAGTAGGATAATTCCAGTACATCAATATTTGGCCTACAATTTTCCATTGTATGATCTCTCAGAAAGAATTTTGTTCATTTTCACTAAGTTTATGATAAATAGTCCAATTTATATAAGATGCTTTTGTATCCTGATGTTGTACACTCATCTTTTTCATTTTTTTACACCTATTTTACGCTTGTATAATCAACTGTACTGGTATTGAATTTTCACCAAAGGAAGGTGATTATGCTAATTTTGGGTTTCAAATGAAATGGTGAAGTATGTGCTCTCAAGATCCATGTCCAATTTGCTGTTTTGTAGGCTGGATTTAAAAAGAAGAAGGTTTATAATTATATATAAAGGTTGGAATTGAGCACTCNCTCAGGTTGGTCTTTCTCCTTCTCTGATCTTTTATTGTTTTACGTAAGTTTTATGGTATTTGGTTTGTGGGTGTTTTGCCTCCTTGTTTTTCATTCTGTTCTTGAATTGGACAACATAGGATTAGCAAAGTGGATTTGTGCTGCTCGACTGAATAATTTGTAATAAGCTATGCAGAAAATACACTCAAGACCTTTTTCCCCATATTCTTCCTGAGAATCATGCGTACCACAGGCCACTTTGAGACACCGAAATAGCATCACAAGGCCTATTTTCATGAGGTCACCATGTCTGACATCCTCACCAATGTCAATATAATTAATTACATACACCAAAGAAAGCTCAACCAATGCTTTACAATATAATCATTCTGATAACAGAGCCTCCCCCTGATCCGATCAAGCAACGGTCTTCTAAGTGAAGATGGTTCAACTTTTCCAGCATCAACCTCATTTTTGGATAGTGTAATCCATCTGGAATCGTGTTTTTGTGATCGCATGGCATAAACAGAGCCTAAAAAACATGTATCAATAAAGAAATATGTTGATATGGAACATGTAAAACGGACAGTTAAATGGTTACAAGAAAACAGAGCATTCCAACACAATTGAGATTGAGTGACTAGAGTAGGAAAGAAAAGAAGTTTGACATCTATTACGATCCAATGATCAAAAAGTTCGATATTTCACTATGTATCCCTTGATAACATAGAAACCATGTTCACAAATGGAATAAAAAGGTCCAATTTGTTAACAACCAAACAAGAATGGATGATAGCAGAATGGGTTGTATGGATGCTGAGGAATAGCAGAAATTTTGAAGGGAAAGTTGAGTATGCAGAGTTGTTATGGGATAGGGTTAAGTTCTTGGAATCTCTATGGGTTGCGTTGATCATTAGAGAGTTTCGAGATATTCCTTTTTCATTATTTCACATCATTGGAAAGTTGTTTGCAATTGGCGGATCTTATTTTGTAATCTTATTTTCACTGTTCACTTTTCTCTTTGTAATCTTTCTTGCACGATCTTTTTCATTGGTTCTCTTTGTAATTTTGGTGTGCCAAGATCTTTGAACTCATTTAACTCGAACTTACTTTGTATCGATGTATATGCCTATGTGGTGAATCTACTTGAGATTCACTTCAAAACAGATTTTGTCATTAGGCGAATGGAATTGATGAATAAATAAATATTTTCTCGAGCATGTGTTAGGTATGCATGTATATGCACAAAGTTTTTTTTTTTTTTTTTCCTTATGCTCTTCAGTGAGATGGTTCTCTGTCAAAATCAAAGTATGGTGATACATGGTATACTCATAAGATTGACATCAATTTTTTGCTTGTAGTTGTTGCTACCCAGCGAGATTTAGTAGTATAGATTTATGTATAAAAGAATCATGGGCACGTGTATAACTCATCTACATCATCAATGTTTGATAGAACTTTTAAAAATGGTTGTAGCACATTTTTAGTAGGATAATTCCAGTACATCAATATTTGGCCTACAATTTTCCATTGTATGATCTCTCAGAAAGAATTTTGTTCATTTTCACTAAGTTTATGATAAATAGTCCAATTTATATAAGATGCTTTTGTATCCTGATGTTGTACACTCATCTTTTTCATTTTTTTACACCTATTTTACGCTTGTATAATCAACTGTACTGGTATTGAATTTTCACCAAAGGAAGGTGATTATGCTAATTTTGGGTTTCAAATGAAATGGTGAAGTATGTGCTCTCAAGATCCATGTCCAATTTGCTGTTTTGTAGGCTGGATTTAAAAAGAAGAAGGTTTATAATTATATATAAAGGTTGGAATTGAGCACTCTGAGCTTAGGCTTAAACTTTTGGGTTAGGTTTGAATTTGACTTGTATATATATATATGCCCAGATTATATTAGTGTAATCAGAGCCTGGAAGATTGGATGAGCTGATTTTTGAGAAAAGAAGGGAAGAAAAAATAGGCAGTTAGTGCTTAGGAACAAAAAGGAAGTATAGCATTTAAGATCTAAAGTCTACTTAGGCAGCACCACCTCCGCTTGTTGTTGTGACTGTAGCATAGAAATATAAGCCTAATACATTTTATCTGACTTCGTTGCAAGTTTGTAAAAAGTGGCCAGATTATTATGATGAGTAATCCTTCTCTATGAGCCTCTAATGCATTGATACCACTTTTGTTTTGTTGATATAGAACTTTGGCATGTTTTATTTTATAGGACAGAAGCAACTAATTATAAAAAGTAAAGGATTCTATATCAAAACATTGTGTTTTTCATCGACAAATATTGGAAAGAAATAATAAAAAAACACAGTGTATCCCGATTATGCTTCTGAGGAATTTGAATCCATCAAATGGTTTATGCAATGGAACAAGAATGGTATGCAAAAAATTTGTTCACAATGCTATTCACGTTGAAATGAAAAATAGCCAACATGCTGGAAAATAAGTTTTCCTACCAAGCATCCCTCTTTCACCTGCGGAAACAGAAGATTATCCATTTGAGTTCAAGAGAAAGCAATTTCTTATATTCCTGTGTTTTGCAATGACTATAAACAAAGCAAAAGGACAAACAATACCACATGTGGGAGTTTATCTTCCTCAACATGTGTTATCCCATGGTCAACTCTATGTTTGCCTTATTGCGTGGAATTTCGATGTCAACAACAAATTTTTTGGTCAAACCATATAACAAGACAAAAAAAGAAGAGGAGTCTACACCAAAAATATTGTGTACAAAGAGGTCCTCCCACACCCCAGGTATTTCAAAAAAAAAAAAATACTCTTATCGTCTTATGTAATTATGCATCTCAAGGGTGTTAAATAAAAAAGTAAGGTAGGAATTTTACGACTAATAATATCATATGTAACTTGGACTCCCCAAGTCAGGACACTGACACAAATAAAATATAATATAAGATACTACCTCTAAATGTTTGCAAGCAATAACATTTTGATTTCTTCTATTGTACTCTCATTTCTTGACATTGAATGCTCATAAATCCTCGACAATTCAACTCTAATTAGTCACTAATATGGATATATTGTAATTGGTGATTTGGTAGGCAAGAAATTCGAAGTGAAGGTGTCTGATGATGAAGTCCCAACAACTCAATTTTCAACCATCGATCATCTACGAAAATATGACACCAATTGGCTCCTAATGGTTAAGGTTCTTCGGAGAGGAACAATAGTTACTTTCAATAACAATATGTGCTCCGGAGAACTTTGGAAGGTTATTCTAATTGATGATGAGGTTAGACATATTATCAAATGCTAATGTATTACTTATAAGTTTAACATTTAAATGTTATATGATCATAAATCTTTATTTTTTTTTTCCTGAAATCAAATGCAGGGAGCAAGAATTCAAGCTCTAATGTTTACCGATGCAATTGCCAAGTTTGGAGACTTGTTTAATGAAGATAAGACGTATCTCATTTCTAATGGAGTAGTGAACTCAACAAATAAAAAATTCAGCAATGTACACAAGGATATTGAATTGTCACTCACAATCAATACCAATGTGCAAGAAGCCGAAACCGAAATACTACCCTATCATAAGTTCTAAAGATGTACTCATCACACATAGAGATGAGGCCATAGCATTTGGTATGTATTCTCGAACAACATAACAAACAACATGCATATTACAATTTTCAGCATGATACTGTTCTCAAAATCCTAATTTGTATGCAGACATCATTGGATTCATGGTTGAAATCAAACCAGTAGTGAACATCAACAAAAGTGATAAAAGTCAACACAACTATTTTCTCTTAATCATTTGTCATTGCAAGGACAAGACTATATTGGTTTATCCAATTTGGGAATTTTCCTATAAAATGTGATTATTAACAAGCTTAATCTCAATATTTATCAAAGATGTGGATTTCTAAGAAAGTGCTACAGAGATTTAATATACAATCCCTATAGTTTGTCCCAATATTTCATTTTCCACATAGTTTGTTTAGTTTTAAAAAATTAGTTCACAACCTTAGTGTACAATATTTCATCCTTAAAAATGTCCAGGTGCAACGCACGTGGGCATCAACTAGTATAAAATAAATATCCACATAGACCACTCCACATATACATCATGAAATATTACTTTTTAGTATTACACAGCTACCGCACATATGTCGGAACCGAAACTAATGTCTCATCGTGTACTTTGAGCACCGAAGAATAGGTTTAGCTCCAACGAACTGTCGTATCTTCCAGTCCGATTTTCACAATATTGATGATCATCTTCTCCATATATTGACAGGGTCTTTGTGTCCATGGATAGTTTCTCATTCATTCTTGGAACAGCGATATGCTATCTCTTATTCTTCTTCCAGCAACAAAGGTTGTTTGGGAAGGACTGATAAGATGGGGTAATAGGGTTTTGAGTAGAGATGGGTCTAAAACCAAATATCCTGATTCGATTACGGAACACATCCCACTTTCTTTCACACTTTTAGTGCGAAAACAGTTTTGGTTTGAGAAATGTTGATTTAATGTAATAGATAGTGAAAGGAAATTGAAAATAACAAAGAATATACATAGATAGTACCCGATGCACAAGATTCCTACTAAGAGAGCAATATATAGTAAACAATCCTGTTTCCATTTGGAGATGGTAACTTCTTGACTCAAATCCATAGTGTATCACTTGGGCAAGAAAGTTTTTTTTTTTTTTTCAACGGTTAGAGATGTTTAAACTAATTTACGCGACTAATTTTCTCTCCCATCCGATACTGTTACAAGAGAATTGTGTGTGTGAGAGAGAGAGAGAGAGAAGAAGAAGAAGAAGAAGANTTTACGCGACTAATTTTCTCTCCCATCCGATACTGTTACAAGAGAATTGTGTGTGTGTGTGAGAGAGAGAGAGNGAACAAAAAGGAAGTATAGCATTTAAGATCTAAAGTCTACTTAGGCAGCACCACCTCCGCTTGTTGTTGTGACTGTAGCATAGAAATATAAGCCTAATACATTTTATCTGACTTCGTTGCAAGTTTGTAAAAAGTGGCCAGATTATTATGATGAGTAATCCTTCTCTATGAGCCTCTAATGCATTGATACCACTTTTGTTTTGTTGATATAGAACTTTGGCATGTTTTATTTTATAGGACAGAAGCAACTAATTATAAAAAGTAAAGGATTCTATATCAAAACATTGTGTTTTTCATCGACAAATATTGGAAAGAAATAATAAAAAAACACAGTGTATCCCGATTATGCTTCTGAGGAATTTGAATCCATCAAATGGTTTATGCAATGGAACAAGAATGGTATGCAAAAAATTTGTTCACAATGCTATTCACGTTGAAATGAAAAATAGCCAACATGCTGGAAAATAAGTTTTCCTACCAAGCATCCCTCTTTCACCTGCGGAAACAGAAGATTATCCATTTGAGTTCAAGAGAAAGCAATTTCTTATATTCCTGTGTTTTGCAATGACTATAAACAAAGCAAAAGGACAAACAATACCACATGTGGGAGTTTATCTTCCTCAACATGTGTTATCCCATGGTCAACTCTATGTTTGCCTTATTGCGTGGAATTTCGATGTCAACAACAAATTTTTTGGTCAAACCATATAACAAGACAAAAAAAGAAGAGGAGTCTACACCAAAAATATTGTGTACAAAGAGGTCCTCCCACACCCCAGGTATTTCCAAAAAAAAAAAATACTCTTATCGTCTTATGTAATTATGCATCTCAAGGGTGTTAAATAAAAAAGTAAGATAGGAATTTTACGACTAATAATATCATATGTAACTTAGACTCCCCAAGTCAGGACACGACACAAATAAAATATAATATAAGATACTACCTCTAAATGTTTGCAAGCGATAACATTTTGATTTCTTCTATTGTACTCTCATTTCTTGACATTGAATGCTCATAAATCCTCGACAATTCAACTCTAATTAGTCACTAATATGGATATATTGTAATTGGTGATTTGGTAGGCAAGAAATTCGAAGTGAAGGTGTCTGATGATGAAGTCCCAACAACTCAATTTTCAACCATCGATCATCTACGAAAATATGACACCAATTGGCTCCTAATGGTTAAGGTTCTTCGGAGAGGAACAATAGTTACTTTCAATAACAATATGTGCTCCGGAGAACTTTGGAAGGTTATTCTAATTGATGATGAGGTTAGACATATTATCAAATGCTAATGTATTACTTATAAGTTTAACATTTAAATGTTATATGATCATAAATCTTTATTTTTTTTTTCCTGAAATCAAATGCAGGGAGCAAGAATTCAAGCTCTAATGTTTACCGATGCAATTGCCAAGTTTGGAGACTTGTTTAATGAAGATAAGACGTATCTCATTTCTAATGGAGTAGTGAACTCAACAAATAAAAAATTCAGCAATGTACACAAGGATATTGAATTGTCACTCACAATCAATACCAATGTGCAAGAAGCCGAAACCGAAATACTACCCTATCATAAGTTCTAAAGATGTACTCATCACACATAGAGATGAGGCCATAGCATTTGGTATGTATTCTCGAACAACATAACAAACAACATGCATATTACAATTTTCAGCATGATACTGTTCTCAAAATCCTAATTTGTATGCAGACATCATTGGATTCATGGTTGAAATCAAACCAGTAGTGAACATCAACAAAAGTGATAAAAGTCAACACAACTATTTTCTCTTAATCATTTGTCATTGCAAGGACAAGACTATATTGGTTTATCCAATTTGGGAATTTTCCTATAAAATGTGATTATTAACAAGCTTAATCTCAATATTTATCAAAGATGTGGATTTCTAAGAAAGTGCTACAGAGATTTAATATACAATCCCTATAGTTTGTCCCAATATTTCATTTTCCACATAGTTTGTTTAGTTTTAAAAAATTAGTTCACAACCTTAGTGTACAATATTTCATCCTTAAAAATGTCCAGGTGCAACGCACGTGGGCATCAACTAGTATAAAATAAATATCCACATAGACCACTCCACATATACATCATGAAATATTACTTTTTAGTATTACACAGCTACCGCACATATGTCGGAACCGAAACTAATGTCTCATCGTGTACTTTGAGCACCGAAGAATAGGTTTAGCTCCAACGAACTGTCGTATCTTCCAGTCCGATTTTCACAATATTGATGATCATCTTCTCCATATATTGACAGGGTCTTTGTGTCCATGGATAGTTTCTCATTCATTCTTGGAACAGCGATATGCTATCTCTTATTCTTCTTCCAGCAACAAAGGTTGTTTGGGAAGGACTGATAAGATGGGGTAATAGGGTTTTGAGTAGAGATGGGTCTAAAACCAAATATCCTGATTCGATTACGGAACACATCCCACTTTCTTTCACACTTTTAGTGCGAAAACAGTTTTGGTTTGAGAAATGTTGATTTAATGTAATAGATAGTGAAAGGAAATTGAAAATAACAAAGAATATACATAGATAGTACCCGATGCACAAGATTCCTACTAAGAGAGCAATATATAGTAAACAATCCTGTTTCCATTTGGAGATGGTAACTTCTTGACTCAAATCCATAGTGTATCACTTGGGCAAGAAAGTATTTTTTTTTTTTTTTCAACGGTTAGAGATGTTTAAACTAATTTACGCGACTAATTTTCTCTCCCATCCGATACTGTTACAAGAGAATTGTGTGTGTGTGTGAGAGAGAGAGAGAGAAGAAGAAGAAAATGTACAATGCAATAAAAATATGCCTGCATGTGTCCCATTGAGTCCTCTAATTAGACAACCAACTATGCCAAAGTCAATTAGTAAAATGAAACATAATAACATAATGTAATTTATCATCTCATTTGGTGATTTTTAGTTGTTCAAATGAAGCGAACCAATACCATTAGGATTGACAATTCTTATTGCCATTTGTCACTGTAACACGAGATCAACATAAATTAGTGGGCATAAGCCCGATCTTAACGAAATCAAGTCATGATTAGATTTTTCGATAAATGAATAACCCAAACACAATACACAATTTATACAAGATGAGATTTTGATTATAGACTTAACAACTTATGCATAAAAATACATAACCATGGTTTTGGCCAAAAACCTCACCCTAACTTCTTCTCCAAATCCATAGAATACATATTTGTATCCTATTTAATACTTTAAAATTCATTAAACACCAAAAATTAAAGATCTGTATACATAGAATGTGTAAGCAAAAAATAAAGGAAAAGACTAACTATAACTCTTTACAAAAAAATTTAGATTAATTGTGTCCATTTGCAATTGATCCGATTATTTTTCAAAATTTAAAATTTTTGCATTATAACTTTATTACCAATGTCATCTAAAATGAATGTCTCTATGGACTTGGCCATTATATAATGACCCTAACATTTATACAGTACCAAAATAATCTCATAATTTTCTTTTCAAAAATATTATAAGATGACTTGAATATGTCTAAGATTTATTCGAACATGTACAAAAATTAGTAGTCATTTTACGCATGAATGTAATAATCGGAATAATTAGGGTGGACATAATTAATAATACCTATAAAATTTATGAAATTTATAGTTTGAAAATGTTTTAAGTGGAAAAATTAGAGGGTGGGCACATCTATTACTGGCTTCACCAGTGCTAACCCACACATCAGATCCAAGAGAGTCTACATTTCCAGCAGGATGAGCTGTTTTTGTTTGATGACAATCAAACCTCCCCCCAAATTAATATTCCCTAGCGTTCACACTACATGAAATAATGCAACTGCATCAATACTTCACTACCCCTCTAAGCTACCCCCCACCCCAAATGACCTATATATACCTCCACTTCCTGGATTCTCACCTTTCATTCTTCTTAAGTATATATAGACACATATATGTTTCTTTATTCAACCTTACAATGGAACATAATGAAGCTTCCATGCCAGTGAAGAAAGCAAAACCTGCAGGCCATACCCGGAAAAGGCGACCGCTCAAGGCTAAGCTGTATACTGAATTGGTGGAGACACTAACTATCATGGCAGCAGGAGGAGGAGAAGATAAAAAGATCAGCAAAGGACATGGAAGCAAAAGCTCCTCCACAACCAGTACTCCACCATCTTCAGGCAAGTACAATCTAGAAGAGAAAAAACATGTTTGAGAGACAACAGAGGGATCAATGAACTTCAGCTGGCCACTCTTGATTTTTCATTCGGTTGATGCATCTAAATTTGGGTGTGAGATCCTCTAAAATATGCTTTTACTTAGTTTCAATCAAGTGTAGATCATTTATCATATTCATATACTTGTGTCGATCAAAATAACGTGATTGGATCTATTTTTGAGAGTGTTTTTTTTATTATGCTATTAATAAATATAACACTTTTGATAACCCAAATTTTTGTTTATCTTGAGAATGCTAGAAGGAAAAGGGTGCTAAAAGCCCCAATTGTCTATGTCTACGGGTCAATCAAAATCTTTTGAGGTTGAGAGAGAAGGAGCTGCCAAGAAACTTCAATTCCGTTCAAGTTTTCGATAGGTTGGAAAAAAAAAAAAGAAGGCACTTTGTTGTCGATCATTACCAGATGTTTTTGGTTTCGAATCTGAGGTGCGGTAAATGGTCAACTACTTGGTTCCCTATTCATCGAGTTGTTCGAGGAATAGCCAATAGCCACGACTAAAAGGAGTAATGATATAGTTGAACCTATGATTGACAACTCTTGAGCAAGAAAATATTTCTTTTTTCAATTTTATAATTTTTTTGGGTTCCTTGAAAATGGGATCAAATATACAAGATCTTTTTTGGGAGAACCAAAAGGAAGTTCAGCTTTCATTTCCCAAATGATAAATTCAAATACAATCCACTATATAAATAAATCTCTTACCTATACCTAATGGGTGATATCACCTTGAATTATATTGAAAAAGATGGGAACTGAAGGAGTTGAGGTCATAAATTCAGGTGTTTGAGATGGTGCCAATGCTTTGTGTAACTACAAGGTTATTGCATATTTTTTGTTTTTTACATCTATTTCATTGGGTCTTTCTTTCAATTCTATGATATATACATATTTTTTGCAATTTAATGGACTTAAAACTATAGGATTCATTTAGGTGTACTCTTTGCATTTTATCTTTACAACCATTGTAAGGATTTTTTTTTTTAAGCAATATCTATATAATAAAACACAACCTATTTTGAATTCTTAACTTATAACCTATCACGAGAATGACTGAAATTGATCTAATTTACATCTCATTCAATCCAATGATCCAAATTTAGTCTCACAAATTTTTTTCCCCCAAATTCAAAATCTCCCTTTGCACACACCCCAACAAACCAACCAAAATCCACCCATGTATTTGGCGCCGTCATGAGAATGACAAAGTTTTCACCCAACCACCTTTTTTCGTATCTATGGCAATCACCACCAGACCCGTAAATCATTCTGAGGACGATTCACCACGTGAAGAGGAGGTCGTACCCCCCCTAGCCAATCTTGTTCCTAACTCGCAACCAATGTTACTGNCCCTTTGCACACACCCCAACAAACCAACCAAAATCCACCCATGTATTTGGCGCCGTCCATGAGAATGACAAAGTTTTCACCCAACCACCTTTTTTCTTATCTATGGCAATCACCACCAGACCCGTAAATCATTCTGAGGACGATTCACCACGTGAAGAGGAGGTCGTACCTCCCCTAGCCAATCTTGTTCCTAACTCGCAACCAATGTTACTGGAGGCAATGCAGCTGCAAATCCTCTAGTTGATGCTCGCTGGGCAAGGAGGTGCGCGACCAGGAGAGTACCAAGCTAGGGAGCACCTCGCCCAGGGCGCCAAGGAGGTCCCCAGCTGGGCGCCCACCTCCAAGTTGTCTGCCAAGCCTCCTTGGGTGCTCCCTTGAGGGGAGCCCCTCCTCAACGCTATGGGGTGGCCCTTCCTCCAACTCCCTCCTCCCACGTTGGAGATCCTCTTCTTCAAGAAGATGAGGGGAAAAATCAGAGTATGGACTATGAGAACTATTTCAATGACCCCGTAACTCTTAATCTACAGTACCTTCAGGTACGGACTATTGCTGATGCATTTATATAGGAGTGTTCAAGTTAGTCCAATAAAACTACAATGTGAGGGTATGGGTCATTAGAGAATGAAACCCTAAATGATGTACAAATTGGCCAGAAATGTACTTTACAAACTAAAGTTGGAGATTTTCTGTTCGATTTTCCTCGGAGACTTCTCATGATAAACGAAACGTTGCATGTGCTGGGATGATCAGTCAGGTACTCTAGGGGATTCGAAAAACTTTTAAATCAACAAAAAATCACATGATCAGAACCTCAAAACTCAAAAGGTTAATAGCTGACTCATCAAACAACGAATTCGAGGCAGCACTTTTCTCGGAAATATGACAACATATATTAAGTGTAGATTCCATATTGAAGCAACAACTTCTCCTTGTTCTGATTTCCTTAACTAGGTTTGTGAAATGTCACGTGGGTTCAATTG